CCCTGGCCAAGGTTCTTGGACACATTGGAAACCCGCTCTTCGCCTGAGGCCAAGGCAGCAGCAGGGAACCCTGTTGAGAGACCCAGCCACTGTGCCTTTAGTTGGCCCCACGTGACAGCATTTCTGTGGAGGGAAGTCTTGTGTTGAATTGAAGCATGTTGTATAATGCATGTGATAATAGCAAATGCCCTTTCTATTTTGTATGTTCAGATGTTTGGGTATACACTATTAGCCATTTCTAGAATGAGGTGAATTTGTACAAGGTGAACAGCCTGTGGCGAGAAGGTTGAAGCGTCTGCAGAAATTCTGGGCTCACAGCACGCCTTTGGCAGGAGCTTGCTCAAGCCCTTAGCTTTACCTGGAAAAGTGCAAGAAGCAGGGTCTCTTTTCCTTACAAGGTAGAAAAACTGAGCAGTTCCATTTATCTCTTCATAGTTGAGTCAGGCAAAACTGGGTTCAGTCCTAATTTTCTGATTTGGGTACTTTAGTTCATCCTTTTTGGCCCCCTTTCTCACCTTAAATGAGATTTTGCTTTTAATGCACTTTGATAGTGCGTGACTTCCAGTAAGCCGTTATTGGGATGATGACTGAATTGCATTTCTCAACATCTTCAAGGGTATTTCATTTAAGCCTAGCAGCAATTGGCAGAGAAAATAGACAGTATTTTTCCCTTGTTTCTAGAAAGGAAAGAATGTACTCTGTTGTGGGTTTTGGATTTCTCTGAGATGGAATGAAAACTATGGACCCTCTGCCAAATGTTCCTGTACACAGAAATGTTCCTGTAGTTTCACCAAGTCAGCAAGGTCCCTCTGCAAACCCTATGTTAAGAATTCCTTTCAGGGGCCGGCAGGTGACATGGTTGGTTAAGGCGACTGGACGCCCACATGGCTGACCGTGGTTTGAGTCCTGGACTGGGAAGCTTGCTTTCTCACTTTCCTTCTCTCTCTTCAAAAAAAAAAAGACAATGAATAAAATGAAACACACACACACACATACACAATTCTTTTTAAAAAAAAAATTCCTGGGAACCAGCAGTTAGCGTAATGGCTATGTCGCTGGACTCCCACGTAGTCGACCACGGTTCGCGTCCTGGACCTGGTGGCTTAGAACTCACGCCGGGCGCGTGTGCGTGCGTGCCCAAGATCTCGAGAGGAGAATGGAGGAGAAGGGATTGCGGCGTGACCATCCCCCCTGGGGGGGGATTTCTTGCTTTCTGTCTCTATGTCTCTCTCTGTCTGTCTCGCGAGCGCACACGCCCCCCTATAGCGAAAACCTCTCCAAAAAAAAAAAAAAAATTCCTGTCATGGGATGTAGTCATGGAACTAATTTCCTAAGATTTTAAGGCCCAGACCCCTCGTCAATTCCTTTCAGCCTTCCAGGCCTCTTGCTCACCTCCTCCTCTCTCTGACTTGGTGCTTAGGCTGCATTCTCGTTTCTTTCAGGAGCTAATGGACATACTTTCCGAAGTGCATGTCTACCAAGATGGTTGGAAGCAGAATGGATCTTTGGGGGTGTGAAATACCAGTATGGTGGGAACCAAGAAGGCAAGTGAGGTTTTCTTCCCTGGTTAAATTTACCTTCACAGTAGCAGTTCTGGAAAGTCCCATGGGAAACTTTTCCGGAGCTCAAGAGAAACTTCTCAGGTTGCAGGGACTGGTTCCAAAGATCTTGTTTCCCCACAAGGACTAAACGTGAAGTGACAGCAAACAAGGCAGCTGCCACTCTGTTCCCTGCTCTCTTTCACTGGCCAAGGTTCTTGGACACATTGGAAACCTGCTCTTAGCCTGAGGCCAAGGCAGCAGCAGGTAACCCTGTTCACTTAATGTGTAGCTATTAAAGTGAAACTTAAAATTCAGATGCTACGAAGGCTGATTCATAGTAGGTACTAGAAGTTGTAGGCCTTAAAATCAAGGAAAAGGCTTGATTTCTCAGGGAAGGAAGCAGGTGGGCCCTCTAGATTCTTGTAAGAACCACAATCATAATGCTAGGCCACAGACCATGCCAGGGCCACTGTGGCTGCTTTTGGTGAACACTAGTTAGGGAGGGGAGTGGAGTGCAGTGAGGCAGCAGGAGCTGCCCATCTTTGTTTTCAGGCCCTTTGTTCCGAAATTCAGCCTTCCGCTGCTTCCCTCTGAGGCTCCAGCAACTTGCCTGTCTGTCACTGTTCTCACCTGAGCCCTGTGCACCTTTGCCCTGGCAGGGGAGATGGGCTTTGAACCCTGCTACGCTGAAGTGCTGAGGGTGGTCCAAGGAAAACTTCACCAGCCAGAGGAGGTCCAGAGAAGTTCCTTCTATGCTTTCTCTTATTATTATGACCGAGCCGTTGACACAGACATGATCGGTGAGTTCATCCTGAGTAAAAGTGCAGAGAGAAAGTGAGCAGGGCTGTGGAGGGGAAGGTCAAGGAGAGGGAACATTAGGGAACCAGCAGTTAGCGTAATGGCTATGTTGCTGGACTCCCACGTAGTCGACTGCGGTTCACGTCCTGGACCCTGTGGCTTAAAACTCACACCGGGCGCGTGTGCGTGCGTGCCCAAGATCCTGAGAGGAGTATGGAGAAGGGATTGCGGCGTGACCATCCCCTCTGGGGGGTGATTTCTCGCTTTCTGTCTCTCTGTCTCTCTCTCTGTCTGTCGGGCGAGTGCACACACCCTATAGCGAAAACCTCTGTTAAAAAAAAAAAAAAAAGGAGAGAGAACATTAGAAATGCTTAGTGAGGCCCCTCAAAAAAAATGCTTTTGGAGCTGGCCCCATAGCCTATTGTTAAGAAACCCAGATCCTGGGGGCCAGCAGATGACGTAATGCTTACGTCACTGGATTCCCACATAGTTGACCAGAGTTTCAGTCCCAGACCTAGCAGCTTGAAACTCACACCGAGCGTGTTTGTGTGCATGCCCAAAATCCCAAGAGGAGACTGGAGGAGACAGGATTTAGACATGGCCATCCCCCCAGGGGGTGATTTTTCACTTTCTGTCTTTGTCTCTCCAGCAAGCACATGCACCCTGTAGCAAAAATCTCTCTTTCTGGATAAATAAATAAATGAAGGAAGGAAGGAAGGAAGGAAGGAAGGAAGGAAGGAAGGAAGGAAGGAAGAAAGAAAGCAAGCCAGATCCTACATGGCTGACCCTGGTTCGAATGCTGGCCCCAGCAGTTTTAAAAACACACCAGGCTAAGTGTGCAAGTGTGCCCCAAATCCTGTCAGGATGGAGAAATAGAGGAGACAGGATTACACCATGACCATGCTCCATCGAGGGGTGCTTTTGCCCCCTCTCTCTCCCTGTCTCTCCATATCTCTCTGGCAACGGTATGTGCTCTCTGTTAAATAAAAATAAAAGAAAAAAAGGAAATACTTTGTGGGGCAGTTGCCTTCTTCAGGATTGGATGTTGAGTGGCACGAGTCACTCAAATAGAAGGGAGAGCGAACTTTGACTCTCTCAGGACTAGATGATGATATAAGGTATTTTTAAACATGTTTATTGAGGTATAATTGACGTATAGTAAATGCGCGTGTCTGCAGTGTACGGTTTGCCCAGTTTTGTATATATACATACATGGAACCATCATCACATACGAGAGGGTGAATATCAACCACCCCTAAATTTAGTCCTGCCTCTTTATAACTTATCATAGAAGTAATTATTTTGGGTTTGGCCAGTCAGGAGGCATGGTGGTTCAGGCACCAATTGAGCAGTTTGAGTCCTGGGCCCAGCAGCTTGAAAAACACACTGAGTACATGGGTGCATGTGGCCAAAATCCCAAAAGAAGAGGAGAAAGGATTCCAATGTGGCCTACCCCTTGGGGGTGATTTCTCAATTTTCTTCTCTCTCTGATACCCCCCCAAAAAAAGGTCATGTTTTTGGGGCCAGCTCTATGGTACAGTGGTAATGTACTGCTTGGGATAAACTGGATCCAACATGGTGACTGTGGTTTGAATCCCTGATGCGTTAGCCTGAAACATACAAGATCCCATGGAAGACAGAAGGAGCTTGTGGCATGGCCATTTCCTATGCTTCTGTCTCTCTCTCTTTCTGTCTTTTACTCTCATGTGTATGTATGTATACATACACTATTATGAATACAGAAAAAAACTTTAATATTTAAAAAGTAATACTTCTGTTATGAGAGTATGTGTATATGATTTGTCATGGCCTGAGAGAGATGAATTTAGTCTCTATTTACTAGTATGTGTTTTGTTTTGTTCTGTTTTTGTTTTTGTTTTTTTTTAAGAGAGATTTTTGCTATAGGGTACGTGCACTCACCGGAGAAACAGAGAGAGAAAGAGACATAGAAAGTAAAAAATCACTCTCCCCGGGGGGGGAGGGATGGCCTTGCCATTGTTGTTATAAATATCACTAGGATGAATTCCCTTATGTTTCCTTGAAGGCCTTTTTTATTTTTTTAAGAGAGATTGTTGTGTTAGGGCATGTGTGCTCATCAGAGACACAGAAAGAGACAGAGAGACAAAAAGCCAGAAATCACCCCTGGGGGGATGGCTATGTCACATTCCCTCCTCCTCCATTCTCCTCTTGGGATATTGGGCACACATGCACACGCGCTTGGTGTGAGTTTTAAGCTGCTTGGTCGGGGACTCAAATTGTGGTCAACTACATCGTAGTCCAGTGATGTAAGTATTAGACCATGTGCTGCTCCCTCCTTGAAGGCCTTTTAACAGTTGCTACTGTGCGTTTCATTTCAGATTATGAAAAGGGGGGTGTTTTGAAAGTTGAAGATTTTGAAAGAAAAGCCAGAGAAGGTGAGTGTCAGGAGAAGTTCTAGAAGGCAGCCTGGAGGCCGTGCCTGCCAACTCGTGATCTCTCCAGTGATCTCCGCCAGCACAGAAGGCCTCTGGGAAGGCTGGCCTCCTTCCTGGGCCTTCCGGTATCTGCTGGACGTTAAAGGCAGTAGATGGTATAGAATATGGGCATGCAGGAAGCCTTTCAGAATTGGTGAAAACCTTTGTTCTTTCTTCATTTCTTTATTTTTTAAAAAATTGAAATAGTATAACCAGTGTTCACGAAACACCAACATATCAGTACGTGGGAAATAGTCACATAGGAGGCTTCCTGAGAGAGTCGACCTAAAATACAAGTGACCTTATCCCGTGGCCCCACAGTCTCTGGACCTCAGCATTAATAACAGTTAAGGCAGCCAGATGCAGTGTGTGGCAGTCATGCAATGCTCCATGATGAAACCACATGGGAAGATCCTAGGGTCACACCCCCAGTTCTCCCTGAAAATCCTGGGCACATGTGTGCATGCATGTCCACGATGCATGCCCTGGCTGGCCAAGGCTGGAGGTAGATCGTTGTGTGAAGAACCTGTCGAGGTGCGTGTCATTCTCTTATGGAAAAAATAGAAAAATGCATTTTAAAAGTTAAAAAAAAAAATAGAGGTAGTGACATGGTAGTTAAGGTGGCTGGACCCCCACGTGGCTGACTGAGTCCCTGATACAGTAGCTTGGGAAACACTCCAGGTGCATGTAGGTACATGCCCAAAATCCCAAGAGGAGGAGTAGAGAAGGGATTGCAGTGGGATCAGCCCCCATAGGGGGTGCTTTCTCACTTCAGTCTCTGTCATGCACATACCCTCTAGCAGATTAATAATAAAAAGATAAGGGACTTAAAACTAACCCCACAACAGGTCATAGAAATCTAGCAAATAAACTAGGACATTAAATTTGAGTAGATAAGATGTCACACCAGAAATGTGCACGTTCTTAAGCTACTGCCTTGGGAACCAGCAGTTAGCGTAATGGCTATGTCGCTGGACTCCCACGTAGTCGATCGCGGTTCGTGTCCCAGACCTGGTGGCTTAGAACTCACGCCGGGCGCGTGTGCGTGCGTGCCCAAAATCCCGAGAGGAGAATGGAGGAGAAGGGATTGCGGCGTGACCAACCCCCCTGGGGGGTGATTTCTCGCTTTCTGTCTCTGTCTCTCTCTGTCTGTCTGGCGAGCGCACGCGCCCTATAGAGAAAACCTCTCCAAAAAAAAAAAAAAAGAAGCTTCTGCCTTGCAGAGGCAAGCACTATATAGTCTAGTCTCCACGAGGCCAAGGCATCAGCCAAGTGGAGACGTGTGCTTTGCTAACTTTGTAATTGGAGAAAGTCTCACAGCTCTCAGTTTGTTGTAAACTTAAGCTCCACTGTCCATTCTCTCTCACTCTCAGTGTGTGACAACTTGGAAAACTTCACCTCGGGCAGTCCTTTCCTGTGCATGGATCTCAGCTACATCACAGCCCTGTTAAAGGACGGCTTTGGCTTTGCAGATAGCACCGTCTTAAAGGTAAGAGATAGGACACCAGTGTCCCACAGTCTTTTGTGGGTTCTGGGGAGAAGTTTAAAACTTGTTCAGTAATCAGAGCAGCTATGGGAGGAATTACAAGGTACTTTTCTTCAGGCTGTGGACAGTGCACTGTGCTAGGCATTGTGAATGTAGAAAATGACCTTGATGCAATTGGTAACCTCCCACTGGTAGCTATCTCAAAGGTCACAGAACACAAAGACTTGCAGCCCAGATTAAGATGCCTGTGACTCCTTTTCACAATTTGGAACTTAGAGTAAGAAGCAAAAGGAAGATGGGAGAGGTGAATAAAAAAGACAAGGTATGAGCCAGTACAGTGGTAATAATAACCAGGTCATTTAAAGGCCATTTCTCTGCTATTTTCACTGCTAGCATCCTTTTAATCTCTAGATTTCAGTGAGGGCAGAATTTAATTTGGGAGTGGACAGTCCTCTGTTCCAGAGATCACTTCATTTTGGCCTCTATATCTCTAGGCTGCTAGCCCAGTCCCAAGGACAGGAAGAGCACTGTGATGTGGGGTACAGCCAGTTGCACTCAGGTGTCCCAGAATAAACCTCGGGGTGATTTAAATGTCACTCTTCCCAGATCTGCATAGTAATTAGACTTGTTTCCAATAGGTCAACACAGAACAACCCACTGGTTTTCAAATCTTTTTTTTTGGGAGGTGCCATCTTTATTTGACAAAAGCTTAAGCAGGCGTCAATAAGGCAAAGCAGATAAAGCTAGGGCCATTCCGCTTGAAGCAGAGGGCCTGACCATGGAACTCCTTTACCATCTGGCTTCCCTTTCTCCTTTGAAGCATTTGCGAGGACTCTTAGGATTCTGAAGTAGACAATTTGATGAACCCCAATCTAATCCCCGTTACTTAGTTGAGGATATCAGGTCTGAAGTTTTGCATCAGGTCACCGAGCTAATGAAGCACAGCCTGCCCAAAATGCCTTCAATGCCTTGATTGGCTATTACTCGCTTAAGTGGAAGGAGCTGCTTACATAGGCGGGCTTCGGCAGCTTGGTTTGTTCTTTCCTACACCTAAATCTACTCCCAGTTCCTGTCCATGCCTTTCCAAGCACATTCATTAACATTTCATTGTAAGTTGATGATTCAGAAAATAAAACATGGATTGCTGTTTAGTTTCAGGATTAGGAGTTCAGAAGCCTATCTTCTAAGGATCTCTCTAGAAGGCCTGGTTGGGGCCATCTTGTGGGCCAAAAGCATTCAGGGGTCAGAACGGCAGGTGCAAGGGCGACAGGTGATGGCTGGAGGGAAACTATTACAGAGTGGTTGGGAGTCTCCAAAGACTGGCTACTTTGCCTGGCCTTGGTGTAGCCTTGTGGATGCTCTTTGCAGATGTGAATCTGCCCGAATGCCACGTTGTTTGCTAGAGTGGAAAACTGGATGAGAATGTGGACTTGTTTTCTCCTCCTCAACAGCTCACAAAGAAGGTGAACAACATAGAAACGGGCTGGGCATTGGGAGCCACCTTTCACCTGCTGCAGTCTCTGGGCATCCCCCACTGAATTCAAGCACTTCTCTGAGGCCTGCATTTGCCAGCAACCTTTTTAAATTAAGAGGGAGAAAAGACTCAGCCATTTCCTGAGCTAGTCCGAGGATGGCCTGGACTTGAGCCTAGCAGGTGGTGTTATCAGGAGGATGGGTATTTTATAGACGGGTCTTGCTCCTGAGCCTAGAAATTTGGATTAATTTTATGCATCTAACGTGAAAAATCACTAACTACTTGGAGTGCACAACTGGCGCCAGAGTCTAAATCTTTTGAGATTCTAAGTGTGTCACAAAGAACCCCATGAGCCAAAAACAATAGCTTTGGAACTCAACCTTGGAGTGAGAGCCCAGAGAGAGGACTGTGGGAACCAAAGAAAATGTTCATTTCAGCCTTCTGAGTGCCTCCTTCCTTTGTACCTTTAATATTTCCTTTTACATGCTAAATTGAGCTGATTATTACAGTCCCAGGACCTATCGTGCCAGTATTTTTTTTCCTCCCTATACACTGCACTGCCCCACCCTTATCTGCATTCACCTCCAAGAAAAAAAAAAAAACACCTGTTTTTTTCTTTTCATGTATAATTAAAAAGACAAAATCAAAAGGTACCTTCTCTGAATTCGTGTGATCCTGTTCTGTGCTAGTTCCAGTCAGCCGGCCGAGAGCCGTCCTGAATGTTCACAGGGTGGAGAGTGGCTCCTCTAACTGCATGGAACGCCGCCTTAAGAAAGGCCATCCAGACTCCAGGGCCAGAGCACGGCTGCCTTGTATAGCCTTTTAATCAACTTATCAGTCAACTCTGGGATTAATGAACATAGCCAACCGTATCGGTATGTTGTATTCACTGCTGCTACCAGCTGTCGGGGCTAATGTACTTGTAGTGTTTTCTGTGTTCCTAAGCTTGTTTTCTGTCATTTCTAGGAAATACCAAATACCTTAACTTTTGGTCTGTGGTAAGCTGTGGCTGCACTCTTCAAGGGTCTACAGATTTTGGTCATAGCCTTTTTCAGTTTGCCCTTTACTGTTTAGAGCAGTACCTTCCTGCTTTGGCCCCTGATCATTGTAGCCAGCACTGAGTTACTGTCTACTTCCTGGGTTTCCAATAACCTTCCCACCAGTGTCCAGTATATGATGTGGTTGGCTCTTTTGGCCCAATCAGTGCAGTGGACCAGCATTTCCAGAGACCCTATTTAATGACGTTTTGGATCTCTGACTGTTCAGAGCTTGATTTTGTGAATTATGTCCCCAAATCCATTATCTAGTGCTTTTCCACACCACCATCACCTGCTTCTTGTCAGCCCACTCTAGTGATCTTGCATGTAAGTGATCTTCCTGCACTTCGGCTCCTTGGCCTTGGCTCTTCACCTCCGGCTTCTTCCCAGGAGTCTGTTATCTCCCCACACCTGTTGCTGTCATGGAAGACTAACTCCCTTTCCTTCTACTCTTGCAAAAAGGTTGTTAGATGTACCCATTCCACACCATTCCATATAAACTTTTAAGTTACTCCACTAAGTTAGTAAATATTTAATATCTGCTATGTGCAAGGAACTAGACAAGTTTCCAGATCCTAATCCCCAAAATTTTAGTTGTTTGATTCATTTGTGGAATTTCTTCATATTTTTCAGTGACTTTTATTAATAACACCTTTATACTTATTACTTTATTCAAAAAGTATATAAGGAAATAATGAAATAATAGAATCTTCAGAACTGGAAATATTTGAAGACGTATCCATCTTCTATCCAACATACTCAAGATTATACCCAACCTTTTACCCTGAACTTTTTTGTAAAACAAATTATATTTTTTAATTGAACCAGAGACAGAAGTGAGAAAGGAAGCCATCAGGTCCAGAACTTAAACTGCAGTTGGCCATGTGGGAGTCCAGTGCCCTAACCACCATGCAACCTGCTGGCCCTCTACCCTGAACATTTTTTAATTTGCCAAGGGCATATGCACTTGTCAGAGAGAGAAGCCCCCAGTGGGTGAGGGAGTGGTCACACCAAAATCCATTCTCCATTTCTCTACCCCGTTGGGATTTGGGGCATGTACATGCACTTACCTGGCATGTTATTTAAGCACTGTCGGTGCCACGGTTCTGTGTGGTTAGTCATGTGGAAACCAGCTCCCTTAACCAGTGGCCATGGGGCCACCCCTACCCTGAACATTTTTGATACTTTTTAGCCGTGTTTTCAAATAACTCATTTCATTTGGGACTGCACTGATGTTAAAAAAATTTCTGCTTATAGTAAGCCGAAATCTACCCATCTTCTCAGTGATCTCAGTTCTGTTCTTCTCTCCTTCCAAAGCTTTTCATCTTTTGAAGAAAGCCATCCCAAGTTTGTTTAATATGACATGACTTCTAGACCCCTTTCATCTTTTCAAGACTAGTAGGGTGCTAGACCAGTAATAGTACACTAAATGTTGTCCCGTTAAGAGTAGGAAGAAACTTCTCCCCAAGAGAAATCAAATTGTTTCTCCAAAGTACAACTGTTCAGTAAAGAATCCTCCAGTTTGACAGGTCCACGGAAGTTAGATTCCTGGTCTTTATCATTTCAGAGTATCTCAGAAGCTTCTTGTAAACAGGACACATTTGTAAAGTACACATATTATTTAGCAGTCTCCGTTGTCATCCCAAATACCTTCAGAACTCTTGAGCCGACGCATTCTAACTCCTGTAATCTATCTACATCTATTCTGTTGATCATGATTAGAACATTTGGAGAATAAACCAATGTTCATCTTCGTGATTTGCAATGAGAATTATTTCTTAGAAAAATCAATTTTAATAATGTCTTTTCTGTCTCCCTCTTATTAAGGAGTCCTAGATTCTAGTGTTGCTGGTTAGTTTCTTCTCTGCACATGTGTTAATATATTCAAATACATAGGACATGCCCTGGTACATGTGGATGTTGTGTGTGTGATCATTATCATATGAAGAACATCTGTGGGTCATGGAGGGCCTTGCAAGGTGTGCCTTAAAATTCATCCAGTCTTGCCTGATTTTGTTTGCATACTTTGAGAGCCCATGATCTCCTTACCTGGGCTGCCTTCTCATTTTTTATGAAAGATGACTTAGTCCCTGTAGTCTCTGCCAGTAGTCTTTCACAGTAGCTGCCATCTTTGATTCTGGGCATTTTTCCTGAGATTCCAGGAAGGTTTGTGATATTGTCACTTTTTTATTCTAATATCTTATAAATTTCCCACATTTACCTGAAAAACTCCCCTGTAATAACAGATTTATCATGCCTTTAAAATTATTCTCAAGAATAGCTTCGTTTGGTTCAAAAGTACTGTTTCATCTTCAAATGAGACTTCTAGGTGAGATGTTCTTTAACAGTATGCAAATCTAAAAGACTTAAACATCTCTTCAAGAGGCATCTCTGGTACTGTGAAGTAAGTCAAAAACCCACAGCAAAACATTGCTGCCTTCTGCTCCAGACAACGCCAGCAGCCTGCCACCAACCAGGAACAAGTTCTGCTGCTACTTAGTCTTTTAGCTGGTTCCTGAGGTCTTCAAACCTGTGCAATGAAATTATTTATTGTTTCATTACTGGACAGTGGTATCCTAGAGAAGAACCATAAATAATATTAAAATCTGGTGCTGTAATGAGGAAGTAATAACTAGCATTAAAAAGATCTTATTTTCTTTTCAGGAAGTCCAGTGCACCTATTACAAAGGTTAATTTAATTTGCACTTTAATGTTATAAATTTTAAAACAACAATTCTAACAAAGCTGTATCAACGTATTTTTAATTGTAACCTCTACCAAAAAATTCTACAATTTATGACATGCATTAAGAAAATAATAACTATATGTTGTCTTTAGAAAGGATTGTTAACAAGTGAAAAATGAGTGAGATGGTACCTCAGTGATTGTTGTTTTAATAATAAAAAGCTCCTTTCAACCAAATTGTATTAGTTGTCTTCTGTTTTGTTTTTTTTGTTTTTTTTTTGCCCCTTAGCATGGCTAATATACCCTCCTCAGAGCATATTATCAGGCCCATTGAGTAGAGGATAAAAAAAAAAACCAAGTCTAATATAAATTTATTAAATTAAATCTCGAAAATGATTGGTGATGGTCCTGGGGTAGGATGTTCTTTTTTCATCAACATATTCTCCAAAGAAGAGCACTCATTTGCTTGCAAAGGCCATAATCTGTTCCTGGAGAAAAATAAAACAGAGTGAGTGATACTCTGATACTATTAACAGAATAAGGGCAGGTAAAGAAAATAAAATATCCAAAGTGATTAAAGCAAAAAGTTGGGACCAGTAGTTGGCATGGCTATTGTCTCTGGACTGCCATGTGGTCGACCGTGGTTAGATTCCTGGACCCGGGGGCTTAAACTCATGCCAGGTGCGTGTGCATGCGTGCCCAAGATCCCAAGAGGATAATGGAGAAGAGATTGCGGCGTAGTCATCCCCCCTGGGGGGTGATTTCTCACTTTCTATCTATCTCTCTGTCTTTTTGGTGAGCCCACATGCCCTATAGCAAAAAAAAAAAAAACACAAAGGCAAAAAGTTAACCCAAGTTCATTTAGATAACTCCTCCCAAGACTCCCTGTTTTGGGGGACTGATGGAGGTGCAGCAGTAAAACACAATACTCTGCAAAGCAATTCCACATGGAAAGGTTCCTGCTTGAAGTTCAGAGACCTTCCTGGGTTCTCTAGGCACTTACTTGCCGATGATCTGGAGGGGATCATGGCATGAGAGCCCAAAGGGGGTGCTGTCTGTATGTCTCTCTCTCTCATGGAAGAAATAAATAGACTTTGGGTAGGAGAAGAAGAGTCCCTATTTTATTTCAACATATATATATATATAAAAGTAACAAAGTTTCTACATGCTCTGGTTTGGATTGTGGTTTGTCTCTTCCTAAAGGTTCATGCTTTGAAATTTGGTCTCCAGTATATATAAGGCACTGGGAGGAGGTGAGACCTAGTGGGCAGTGAGTGGATCATGGAGGCATTACTCTCATGAATGGATTCATGCTGTCTACTGAGACTGAGTCAGTTCTAGTGCTCATGAGAGAGGTTAGTTCGTTTGAGAGCCAGTTACACAAAGATGGCTAGGCCAGCCCCATAGCCTAGTAAAGGAGCCAGATCCCACATGGCCAACCACAGTTCTAATCCTGGCTCTGGTGGCTTGAGAAACATACCAGGCACGTGTGTATGCGCCTTAAATCTGGAAAGGATGGAGCAGGGATAGCAGCATTACCATGCCCTGCTGGGGGGTGCTTTCTCCCTCCCCTTCTTTCTCTAGTGGGTACACACATCCTTTGACAATTAAAAAGAAGATGGCTGACACCAACTCTCTCTTTGCATGTGCCCATCATTCTCTATGTTTCTATTGATCATGTTGTGACATTGCCAGCCTGCTGCTAGTCCTACTAAACCTTTGGACCTTCTAGCCACAAGAATCATAAACCACATAAACCTCTAATCTTTGTAAATCACCCAATCTCAGGGATTTCTGTTTACAACAACAGTGGACTAATACAGGAAGGAAGCTAGCCAAGCAGCAAAAGGACTTTAAACATCTTTATCTTTACAAGTCCCTGTTCACTAGTTTTAAGTCACTCCGGTAAGTTATTGCTTAGACATGGGCCCTGACATGGCCCGGGAACTACTTTTTTGTTTATAACTGCTGGAAAGGTAGACAGATAAAGATAGTAATAATTTCACAGCCAAGAAAAGTAATGCAAAGAAATTAAAAGAGTTATTGGGGGTCAGGCAGTAGCATGGTGGCTAACATGCTGGACTGCCACATGGCTGGCCACAGTTCAAGTCTGGTACCTCATGGGTTGCTTTCTCACTTTCCCTTTCTCTTTCTAATATCACTATGATAAAAAAAAAAAAAATTAAAGAAGAAAAAACATATTTGCAAAGTCATTCTTCAGTGCACTAAGAGCAACCTCTTACTTTGAGTGGAGAGACTGCATTTGTGGCCTGCAAGCCCCAAGTCCTAAGCAGAACGAGTGGAGTAGCACTGGTGGAATAGAGCCTTTTCAGGAAGTCCGTGGCAGCCAGGAGAACAGTGTTGTGACGTTGTCTATCTGTTTCATAACCTGTGAGGTGGCTCATGGAGCCTGAAGGAAAGAGAAAAGGTTAAATTCCTAATTCAACAATCAAGTTTTCTTCTCTCTCTTAGCAAACCAGATACATTTTACATCTACCCCACCTTGCTACTGAGGGCCAGGATTTTAGGGCTTTGATCTTCCCTAATTATATTACCTTGATCTTTTCTAAGGTACCCGAATCCTTACCTAAGTCTTTCCCATTGAAGGCTGCAGTACTGAGGTGATGGGCCAAGCTGGAGACATCCCCAAAGCCCATGTTGACACCTTGTCCAGCAAGTGGATGTACTCTGTGGGCTGCATCCCTAAGAATAAAGCAGAGTTCAGATGTGACTTTCAACAGCACACTTAGAAGGGAGAGGCCCCTGCCTTTTTTTTTTTCTTCTCTCGAAATTCCAGCTTTTTAAAAAATTTTCCTCTTTTATACAAAGTAGAAGAAATAATAAAGAATTAAAATTGCAAAAGTAGTTAATCAGTAGAACATGTATTCACACTAAATAATCTGGTTCGGAACACAGGCTTATTTATAATAAACATAAAATTAAGGTAGTTTTCTTTGTTTTTTTAAAAAAGAATTACTTATTTTATTTGTTGTTATTTTTTAATTTGGCCAAAGAGCAACAGAAAGAGAAAGTAAGAAAGCAAGCAGCCAGGCCCAGGACTTGAACTGCGGTTGGCCATGTGGAAGTCAAGTGCCTCACCACGCCATCTGCCAGCCCCAAGGTAGCTTTGTTATGAAACATTAAAAAAAAAAAAAAAAAAAATCACACACTACAATGGGTGCCACTATTTACAACGTGCCGCTATTTACAACAATATTGAAGGGAAGAAAACACTTATTTAGGAACAAGTATACCAACAGATTTTACAGTATCAGTGCAATAAATTCACAAAACTATATTAGTTCATAAGTTTAAGAATTGTTCCCAAATATGTTACACTTTTGGTCCTTAGAGGTTCATTCCTACAGATTTCAACTATTCTAAATTTCTAGCTAGTGAGAGGGAAAAGAGGATAACGAGAAGCTTTCCAAGGAAGCTTTCCAAGGTTTCCAAATCTACATGGATCAGAGGCCAACTATCATTCCTAAAGATCTCTCACCAATAGCCCTTGGAATTTTCAGAGTGAGGGAGAGCAAAGAACTACTTCTGTAACATTTTAGTATCCTGAGAGGACAGGAGAAACTGTTCCCAGGGACGATGTAGACTCTATTAATCACTGAACAGAGCTGGTATGTTTTTTGTTACTTTTTGTTTTGAGAAGCTTGTTTATCTCCCTTTTGACCATTCCAATGTACTTCATTGTTGGTTTAGAACGAAAGTCACTATCAGGCAGGTGAGAAGTAGGTTGTGGACTTGCTGTCCCACCCAAGCAACCACAGTTGGAGAAACCATCATGGCCAGGAAGTACATCGTAGGTTTTCTTCCTTTAGTGTAAAGAGGCGTTTCCACTAGCCCATGGCTCTATGTTGAATTTTTACTAGATTGCTGCAAATTTCATGGAATCTTAGCTGTTTGGTCCCTTTATTGGAGCCAAAAATTCTAGGCACTAGAATGGGAACCAGGTAGTCAGCCAAGCACAAAAACATAACGAAACAGGAAACACCAGACAGAACAGATGGATCTCCATAGTGAATAATCAGAAACCACACCGATGATGGCAGGTGGAAACCAGGCTCTTCCCTACTGGAGGATTTTATCAGCCATCCACATCAATGCTCACCATCCTTGCAGCTGCTCTTCCAGACTGGTAGTCTCTGCTGCCAGTAGGCTGGTGCTGCGATTATCTCCCTCTGCCAGGGTCCCTGATATATAGCCTCTGCGAGTGCAAACCACTCACCTATCCAACCTTCCTGGACACCCGCACAGCGACCCCAACCTCTCAGTTATTTTCTTACCCAATGAGTGCCACCCGAGGCCGGACGTACTCGGCAGCATGTCCTAACCCCAGAGGAAACAGCATTCGGCTTTTGGCATCCACGCTGGCTACACTTGGAGGCAGCTGGCGAGCTGAGATCTTGGTGGGCTTCAGAAGGGCAACAGCATATCGCAACATGGTGCCAGCTGAGTCAATGAAGTCTGTGTGGTTAACGTCACTCCACTGAGCAGCATCAGCCACAAGACAAACAGGCGAAATTTGATCAGTGACTAGCAGGGAATTAAAAATGCAACAAAGAAGCTCTTTTTGGAATCAAAGCCCAGGGCAATGCTACTTAACTCCTCTAAACTGATCCTGATCACAAGTGACAAGCCTCTTAAACACTAAACTCAACTTCCCATCACTCCTTGCAGGTTTGAGGATCAACCAGACTGCTCCTGAGTTGCCCCTGCATATCTCTGAGCTTCAAATAACCACAGTGTAGTTACATGAACTACGCCATAGTTTAGCCACAGCGTAGCTCACCGTACAATACCCTCTTGCCTCCAGGACTCCTCAGAGCATCTGGATGTCACCTCTTTTTGTAACCCCCCACACACACGCACTGGCATAAAGTGATTTGTCAAAAATTCTTTTCTAAAGAACTTTAGACAAACCACTGTATGCCAGAGACCATCAGTATTTCTACCCACTGGACGTGGGTACAAGCTCCCTGAAAGCAAGGACTGCCTAATTTGTCTCTGGACCTCCACAGCCTACTACACAGATGACATTCATAATTTGAAAGAATATATTTAAACGGTACTAGGCCTGTGCTGGGAATACATCCTAAATGATCCAAGGACGGGTAGCAGTCCTCTCTTTTTAGATGGGGTCTTGCTGTTGGATCTTCTTGCCACAGCCTCCCAGCTGCAACCATAGGCATCTACACCAGGCCCAGGTGTTTTCTCAGGGTCTCACTACACTGCTCGTGCCAGTCTCAAGTTCTCAGTTCTCCCTCAGCCTTCCAAGTTGCTGGAATTACAGATACATACCACTGCCCAGACCTTAGGATGGACTGGGAATTGAACTCAGGTTTCCCATGTGGTCCCAGTCTGTAGAGCATGGTGTCTTACGAGTGCACAGCAATGCAGCTGGGCCACGTCCACCATTTATTTGGGAATCCACTTCAGTACACTGAGTGCCTTTTCTTGTTTTCACTACTACAGAGTGGTGGAGTTTAAGTTCTCTGGTGTGACGTCATTACTGAGGTAGTAAGCTTGATGGCTAGAAGCAGGGCTGAGGCAGCTCGATTTCAGAACCCAGCTTTGCCACTAGCTCTATGACCCGATTCCCTATCTATCTAAATGAGGTTAATAATAGTACTATCCCAAGGGTTTACTGAATTAAATAGATACATGTAAGGGCCAGATAGTTGCATAACAACTAGGCCCATATAGGAGGGAATCCCAGTTCAAGTCCTGGGATCTCCCTATACATCTGACACATATATGCATGCCCATCATCCAGGCTAGCTGAGGCTGCAAATGGATTGTGACCTAAGACTCTGATGGGGTGCCTCTCTCATGGAAGAAAGAAATAAATTCGAAAACATAAATACAGGGGCCAGCAGGTGGCATGGTGGTTGAAGGTGCTGGACTTCCACATGGCTGACCACGGTTCAAGTCCTAGACCTGGTAACTTGTTTTCTCACTTTCTCTTTCTCTCTTTCTCTGTCCCTCTCTGGTCAAATGAAAATAGTTAAAATAAAATAATTATTAAATAAAAAAAAGGGAAAACACACATACATAGGAGCCAGCAGGTGACATGGTAGTTAAGGTGCTGACTCCCACATGTCTCACCCAAACCTGGTGGCTTGAAAAATCACACGGGGGTGCTGGCAAGTGGTGTGGTGGTTAAGGGCACTGAACTCCCACATGGTTGACTATGGTTCAAGTTCTGGACCTGACGGCTTGTTTCCTCACTCCCCTTCCTCCTTCTCACCGCCTCCCCTTAGTCCCTCTCTTGTCAAATAAGAATAAATAAATAAAGTTAAATAAAATAATTCTTAACAAAAAGAAAAAGACAAATCACACTGGGCAAATATGTGTGTATATCCCCAAAATCCCAGAAAGAAAAAGGATTAGGAACTGTGGTGTAGCCATCCCCCTGGAAGGCGAGTTCCACTTTCCTTCTCTCAATCTCTCTCTTTTCAGCAAGTGCATATTCCCTATGGCAAACCCCTAAAAAAACCACACACACATATATACCTACATGTAAGACTCTAACCTGTACCTCTTGCACATAGCAAGCACTCAAGAAATATTACCAATTTTTAATATTAGTGAATTTAGACAAATGTGGCATTTAAACTGCAAAAATACTGCTGCCTGTATCTAAAGGCTGTGCCTGCTCCAGAATATTTATTACCATTTGTTGAGCACCTACAGTGTACTAAATACGTTTCAGCCATTTCACATAATGTCTCTCATTTTAAAGTCTTAATCAACCTCGACTACTTGGTCATTCTATTTTCATTTTTCACGAGATAAACAGGTGAAAGCAATACTGAATCCATGTCTGCCTACCAGGCTTATTCCAGCTCCCCCCTGAAATGTGCTCAGCCTCTCCTTGACAACACTTCCCACAAATCAGGTTTCCCAGAGATCCTGGCTCCTATTTAAGTCAGCATAACGGCAGCACACAGCCCTCCAAACATTCCCGTTGCTTTCTGTTTTCCCACATGCCCTCCTCTACAGAGTCAGGACAAGTGTTACAGTTAAAAGGGTTAGCCCTTTTTCATTACTCTCCCCACTTTCTATATCCAGTAATATCTCATCGACTGGACAAGCTGATACTCACAAAGGCAGAGTTAATGGCATCCACGAACTCTTCCTCACCCATGCTGACCAGCTCTGCTGTGTGTTCATGGGATGTGGACCAAACCAAGGAACTCAGGGTGTCTGAGAGCTGTGTCAAAAGAATACGGATACCATGCCAAGGGCTAAAAGTTAGCTGCATCTGGGAGCTCTCAAGAATAAAGGAAGACAAGAGATCAAAGCTACCCTGGGCATTAGTCCACTGGAATCAGAGAAAGGCTAGCCTAGCCATGGTGGTGGTGGTGCAGGAGGGAAGGTTCCACACTGTGCAATGGCAAGCCTTTGGGGGAACACAAGACAGCACACATGCTATCATAAAAGAAGAAAAACGATTAAAACAACCAAAAATAATAACAGATAAAGGCTGGGGCCAACAGATACATGAGGGTTGGGGCTCTGGATTCCCACATGGTGGACCACATATCAAGTCCCAGACCTGGCAGTTTGCTTTCTCACTTTCCTTTTCTCTCTCTCTCTCTGTGGTCAAATTAAATAATAATAAATAAATAAATGATTCATAAAACAAATAAACAAACAAACAAAAAACAGAAAAAGGCTGAGAAAGTGAAGTCCTACAAGATGAAGGCTAGATACATTTAAGCAGACTAGCCAGAAGGACCTCTTACCGGAAGCAAAGCAATTGGCCCAGAGGGAAGAAATCTCTGCCAAGCTACATTGTTTTCTGTGGCCTGCAACAGAGGAGAGGATTCTTGTGAGAAGTACCCACTCCCTGTGAGTGGAGAGCCCAGATGACAGCTCCCTCGGGACCTTACCTCAGATAAATGCAGAGTAGCCACAACAGCAGACTGGTCGTAGTTCCAGCTGACGTTCTGGATTCCTGCAGCCTGCCGCACCCCCGAGTTGTGACCATCTGCACCAATCTGCGTGGAGACCAGAGCTGCAGTCTTACAGCTGTTTCATAAATACAGAAGGCTGTCTCTGCCTCTTAAAGATTTCTCTGGTTCGACTGCTGACAAGCCCATCTCTGGCAGCAAGTTTTCTATCAGGTCTGCCTCATTCACGTCCCTAGGGAAGTAGCCTAACAGAATGTGACCTCAGCCTCAGCCAGCGGAGCCAAAGCTGGACATCTGACCACAGAGCCAACAACTGTCTTACTATATGAACTAGATCACAGTAAGTTGTGTATGGGGCAGGCCCTAGAACTTTACAAATGGTCCTGAGGTGAAATTACGAATGAATGCCATGGAAAAGGGGAAGCTAATGAGCAGAAAGAAAGAAAGAAATATAGTGGATGAAGGACCATAGGACTCCTAAGATGGAAAGAATAGCCTCAGTTCCTGACAACACTGGTCCCTGTTCCTGTGAAGCTTGGCTGTCCTTTATTTTGTGATCTAAGATGGTCATGAGATTGTTTTTTGTACAGGATTTGCAAGATCAATTTAACTTGGACTGGCTTGAACAATAAGGGTCCTTAAACCCAAAGCCTTATTGAAAATTACTTTAAACTACAGCTTAGATCTAAAACTAGAGGCCCTAGGATCTAGAATAAAACATAGTCATGCAAGACCCCTGACAAAAAATAAGAATTTTCAACTACCAACAATTTGGTCTGGAGGGTGCTGCCATCACCTAGGGTAATATGAACCCAAGGGCTGGTGTCGCCCATGCGAAATGGACAAGGCCAGGTGTAGCCAACAGCTCTGCTCCTGTAGAGGACTGTCACTCGGTCTGGGGAGGTCAAAAAAGAAAAAAAAACAACAACACACAGAACATTAGAAAGGAGAGCCTCATAGGCTGAGGAAGCGGCTATAACAAAACTTAAAGCAAGGTCCTAGAGCGGTAGTGCCCTGTCATCTCTGCCAAACAAAGACAACCCAGGGAATCAGTGCATGGTCCGAGAGCTGATAAGTGACAGAAGCTGCAGGGAGGACTCAGTGTCAAAACAAGGGAAAAGGCATTTAAGCTCCAGTGGACTCTCAGTCTCACGCACTTCTTTCTTCCTGTCCTCAAGCTCTAGCTCCTCTAGTTTCACTCCATGCCAAAGTGACCACACCTGAGTTTCCAGAGTAGCCAGGGACACCACAGGCTCAAACAAGTTCCATGTTACATAAGGTTTTCCCGTTCCATTGAAAATCCAATTTTTCTGACCATAAAAATAACATACTCTCCCCAAACATATCAAACTGTATATATTAAATACCTACATCTTTGGGGGCCAGTGGGTGGGATGGTGGTTAAGGTGCTGGACTCCCACATGGCTGACCATAGTTCAAGTCCCAGACCTGGCAGCTTGAAAATCATGCTGGGCACATGTATATGCATGTCCAAAATCCAGAGAGGAGAATGGAGAAGAAATTGCGGTATGGCCATCCTCCCTGTGGGGTGATTTCTCAACTCTCCCTGACCCCAACTGTCTTTTTCTCTGGTGAGCACACGTACTCTATGGCAAAAAAACAAACAAACAAACAAAAACCACCCACAAACAAACAAAGCTCACTATAAAAGTCTGAGAGACAAAGAAAGGTCAGAGGAGAAAAAAAGTCATCCCAGATCATCGCACTTAGAGACAACTACAGTTAGCACTCTTGTATACAGCTTTCCAGGTGATTTCCTACGCACGCACATGCACACACACACTCTCTTACAGAGGGATCATGAGACATATTTTTGTTCACCAATATACAATGAGACATCTCCTTTAGAGCTCTAAATTAACTTTTTGTTTGTTTTCTGCTTCTTATAGAGTGCGTGTGCTCACCAGAGAAAGAAGGAAAGTGAAAAATCGACCCCCACAGGGGACGACCATGGTGCAATCCCTTCTTCTCCATTATCTTCTTGATATTTTGGGAATACACACACGTATCCAGCATGTTTCTCAAGCCAGGGGTTCAGGACTTGAACCACAGAGTCAGCCAGCCATGCGGGATCCAGCTGCCTTTACCACCATGCCACCAGTGGGCCAGATCTAAATTATCTTTAAAAGCTGTACAATGTGGGACTATCAGATGGAGTAATGGTTTCGTTGTTGAACTCCTGTTGTCGATCGCAGTTCGAGTGCCCTGCAAGTGCCACATGGCCAAAAATGGGTTTGAATCCCTGGGTTGGCCTGAAACATTCTGGGCACAGGAACAGACACCTACAATATTGAGGAGCCTGATGGCTGCAGGTAAAGGGGACTGCAGCCCAAAGAGACCCTGTCAAGGGTGCTTCTATCTTGCATGTATATGTTCTCCCTCATTAAAAAAAATCCAAGTTTTCTCTAGAATCCTGAGGTACATATCTGTAATCACATATGCGATCAAAGAAATTTTATATCCAGAATATATAAGCAACTCCTATAAGAATTATTTAACTTGGGGCCAGCAGTTGGTGTAATGGCTGTTGCTGGACTCCCACGTAGTCAACCGCAGTCTGAGTGCTGGACCGGGGGCTTAACTCACGCTAGGCACGTGTGCGTGTGTGCCCAAGATCCCAAAAGGAAAATGAAGGAGAAGGGACTGTGGCATAGCCATCCCCCCTGGGGGGTGATTTCTCGCTTTCTGTCTCTCCATCTCTCTCTGTCTTTCTGGCGAGTGCACTCACCCTATAGCAAAACAAACCAAAAAAACTCTCAAAAAAAAAAAAAAGAATTATTTAACTTTACTTATTGTTATGATTATTATCATCATTATTATTTTCTGGTTTGATCAGAGAGAGGGGGAAAGTGAGAAAGCAAGCCACCAGGTTCAGGACCTGAACTGCGGTCAGCCATGTGGGAGTCCAGCACTTTTACCACCACGCCACCTGCTGGTCCCTATAAACAACTCCTATAAATGCAAAGATAAAAAGATAAATATAATCCAGGCTGGTTTTATAGTATGGTGGTTAAGGTGCCCAGGTCTCACATGCTGACAGTACAGTTTGAGTCCTGGACCCCGCAGCCTGAGAAATACACCAGGCACACACACATGTGTGTGTTTCCAAAATCCTGAAAGGAGAGGGAGATGGAGCAGAAGAGATTTCAGCATGACCATTCTACATGAGGGGTGCTTTCTCCTCTCTCTGGTGAGCACATGCACTTTCTAGTGTACCCTCTAGCAAAAAGATAAATAATAATAAATAAATTTTAAAATGGGCAAGACTGTTGGGACCAGCCGGTGGTGTGGTGGTTAAGGGTGCTGAACTCCCACATGGCTAAATGCAGTTTGAGTCCTGGACCTGGTGACTGGCTTTTTCACTTCTCTCTCTCTCTCTCTCTCTCTTTCTCTCTGTCACTCTCTGGTCAAATTAAAATAAACAAATAAATAAAAAGTTAAATTAAAAATAATTCTCAAAAAAAAAAATGGGAAAGACTGTGAACAGACAATTTCTAAAGATATACAAATGGCCAATAAGCACATAAGATGCTCAATGTTATCAGTCATTAGAGAAATGTAACCATAACCACCACTTCACACTTACTGGGATGGCTATAATTTTTTTTCTTTTTTTTAGAGATTTTTGCTATAGGGTGTGTGTACTCACCAGAGAGCAAGAGACAGAAAGTGAGAAATCACTTCCCAGAGAGGATGGTTATACCACAAATCCTTCTCCTCTATTCTATTCTCAGGATATCTAGCACACATGCACATGTGCCCAGTGTGTTTCAAGCTGCTGGGCCTGGGACTTAAACTGCAGCCTGCCACATGGGAGTCCAGCACCTTAACCACTACGCCCAGTGGTTAAGATGGCTAAGATGGTTATAGTTGGCTATAATTTTTTAAAAAGAATTATTTATTTTATTTATTCATTGATTTATTTTAATTTGACCAGAGAGAGAGGGGGAAAGAGAGAAAGCAAGCTACCAGGTCCAGGACTTGAACCATGGTTGGCCATGTGAGAGTGTCCAGCACCTTAACCACTATGCCACCTGCTAGTCCCGGCTATAATTTTTTTTTTTAAGAATTATCCTTCCTTCCTTCCTTCCTTCCTTCCTTCCTTCCTTCCTTCCTTCCTTTCTTTCTATTTAATTTGACCAGAGAGAGAGAGAGAAAGAAAGAGGGAACATGAAAAAGCAAGCTACCAGGTCCAGGACTTGAACCACAATTAGCCATGTGGGAGTCCAGCACCCTTAACTACCATACCACCTGCCGGCCCTGATGGCTACAATTTTTTAAAAAAGGAAAAAAAAAAAATAAGTGTTGGTGTGGATGTGGAGAACGTGGGATTCTTCTATGTTGGTAGGAAAGTGAAATGGTGCCACTTCTGTAGAAAAATGTTGGGCAGCTCTGAAGATACTAAACACAGAATTACTCTCTGATCCAGCAGTTCCACTCTTAAGTATTTATCCAGGAGAAAAGAAAACATTTACCCACAGAAAAACTTGTACATGGAAATGTTCAAAGAATTATTCGCAATTGCCAAAAAGTATTACCCAAATGTCTATCAATGGGTAAACGGACAATTGAGAGTCAGAAAATCCACAGAGTGGAACACTATTTGGTAGTAAAAAGGAATGAAAAATCCTGATAAATATTTTTATATTATTCTCTATAAGAGAAGTCAGACACATATTATAGGATTCCATTTATATCAATTGTCCAAAATAGACAATCCAGAAAGACAGAAAGAGATTAGTGATTGCCAGGGATTAGGAATAGGAAAGAAGAGTGAGTGTAAAAGGGCACAAGGTAACTATTAGCTGACGGAAATGTTCTAAAATGATGTGATGAAGGTACAGCTAGAAATGCACTAAAAATGAAATTACATGGATGAGTTTCATGATATATAAATTGTATCTGAATAATGCTGTTAAAAATGTAAAAAGCACAAATCCAGCCATGATGGTGCAAGTGGGAGGCACTGCCATGCTGTGGCACTGCCAGCTGGGGATGTATGGGGGGCCCATGCTGAACAGGCTGGGTACAGTGGGGCATGCCTACGGTCCTAGCTAACTGGGAGGCTGGGGCTGGAGGGTTAGGATATATCAAAATACCTATCTCTCCTCCTACCTCCTTCCTCTGTTCTGTCATTAAAAACCAAAACCAAAACCAAAAAAAAAAAAAAAAATACATCCTGAGGTAACCATCAGAGAACTGCCTTTTTTTGGAGGGGTTTTTGCTGTAGGGCGCATTCACTCACCAGAAAGAGAGAGAGACAGAAAGATAGAAAGTGAGAGATCACCCCCCAGGGGGAATGGCCATGCTGCAATCCCTACTCCTCCATTCTCCTCTTGGGATCTTCGGCACGCACGCACATGCACCTGGCACGAGTTTAAGCCACTGGGTCCGGGACATGAACTGCAGTCGGCTACATGGGAGTCCAGTGACATAGCCATTACGCTAACTGCTAGTCCCGAGAACTGCTTTTTTATGGTGAATATTTAGTATAGATAAAAGGGAACATTTCTTCTGACAAGTCGTACAGCAGTTCACTTTGTAAGGAGTCAGGGGAAGAAGGAGAAAATGGATTTCTCACCAGCCACAGCTTCCAGCTGCTTGGTGAGCGCGTGCATGATGACATCATTCTCCACTATATAGCCCATGTCATCTAAATGGTCCTTATCAAACATTATCAAGGCCTCTGAGCAGGCATCCCACACCTGGAAACACAAGAAGGGAGTGTGTATTAAAGCCAAGGGAAAGGAAATAGTACTCCAACCAGATGCTGAGCTGTGCTTTCCTCAGTGACAGAAACAGAACAATGACAATTTATCAGCCTCTCCAGCAGGAGATATGAAACGAGAAGAAAATTCTCCTGGGAATGCTTCCCCCACATCCACAGATTGACTATGAACTTTGTCTGATTCCTTCCACATTCATAGAAAACCTGGAGATTGTGGACTCCAATATCTAAAACACAAGACAGACCAAGATATCTCGCCAAAAGTGGAAAAGAAAAAGGAGGTACCTGCATCCGCCGGAAGGCTCTGTATCTCATTTTGCAGATGTGGTCCCAGGCACCAAAACCTATAAAAAGAAAAGACCTATAAGCCAGAACAACCTCGCAGGGGTCTGGGCCCCTAAGATCCCCTTTGTCCTTCCATTCTGTTAAATAAGAGGTTGTTTTCAGTATTCCCTAACAATAAGAAAAATATTCCCTGCTTCTATTCTAAGCTTCTCTTTTCCCCAGCTCTAGATTGTAGTACATGAAAAAAGACTCAGCTTCCATGATCAAAAGGTCAAATCATGAGCCAGCAGGTGGCATGTGACTAAAGAGCTGGACTCCCACATGGGTGACTGCAGTTTAAGTCCTGGACCCAGCAGCTTGAAAATCATGCTGGGCACATATGTGTGCATGCCCAAAATTCTAAAAGGAAAATAGAGGAGAAGAGACTGCAACATGGCCATACCCCCTGGAGGGTGATTTCTCATTTTCCCTCTCTCTCTGTCTTTCTCCCTGGTGAGCACACACACACCCTATGGCAAAAAAAAAAAAGCTTTAAAAAAAATCTTAAAAAAGAAAAAGAAAACCTCAAATCACAAAGTAGAGGAAAAAAGAAAACCCAACCCAGTCTTTTTTCCACCATCTTACTGAAGTTATAAACCTTCTAGATAAAGACTATCTTTTTAAAAAAATTATTTTAATTCCCTTTGTTATTATTATTATTTTAATTTGACCAGACAGAGACAGAGAGAGAAAGGAAAAGTGAGAAAGCAAGCCACCAGGTCCAGTACCCAAACCATAGTTGGCCACGTGAGAATCCAGTACCTTTAACCTCTACACCACCTGCCAGCTCCCAATAAAGACATTTTTTTATTTGCTACAGAGCCCATGTGCTTGCCAGACATTGAGAGAGAAAAGGAGGAGGAAAAAGCACTCCCCAGTGGGGCATAGTCACATCACAGTCTCTTCTCCTCTCTTTATTCATCCTATTGGGATTTGGGGCACACACACCCGGACTCTTTTAAGCTGTCAGAGCCAAGATTAAACTGCGCTCTGACTGCCTTAACCATGAGGTTAAGAGATCTGGCCGCCTTAACCACGAGGTCACATAGCCTGCCCATGTTTTTTATTTCTTTAACTCGTCCATGTTAAAAGACATTCATTTAGGTCCAACTGTTAGTGTGGTGGTTAAGGCTACTACATAGCTGATGACATGGTTCAAGTCTTGGACCTGGATCTAGACCTGGAAGCTTGAAGGACACACCAGGTGTGTGTGCGTGCATGCCTAAAATCCTAAGAGGAGAATGGAAGAGAAGAAATTGTGGCATGACTGTCCCCAAAAAGGATGCTTTCTCACTCCCACCCCTCCCAACCGCTCTCTCCAGGGAGAGAGGGCCCATGGCAAATGCCCTAGGGCAAATTAAAAAAAAAGAGAGAGAGAGAGAGACAAAGAGGTTCATTAATTGATGAAATACCTATTAAGCACCTACTATATACAGATATAATTCTAGGTGCTGAGCATAAAGTGGGAAACCAAACAAAGGACCTGCCCTTCTGCAGTTGACATTGTAGTTGGAGAAATGAACAATAAAAAACTAACACATACTATGTCAGGTGGCAGGAAGTGTTATGGAAGAAAAGCAAAGCAGTACAAGGGCTAGATAGAAATGGAAAAGTTTTATTTTACATAAGGTAGTTTTTGACCAGATGGTCTAAACAATTAACAACTGGCATAGTCATAAAGATAATTTGCTAACTGGTTCCGTGTGCACACTTTCATCTATGCCCCAGAAACATTTGGCATTCAGGCTCCCTAGCTTGTTAGAGGACTGACTCTGGGAATGCAGAGGGTATTGCTACTGGAAATCAATGTTCACAGTTCTTTTTTTTTTTTTTAATAATTATTTATTTTATTTATTCATTCATTTATTTTTTTAGTTTGATCAGAGAGAGACAGAGGGTGAGAGTGAGAGAGAAAGGAAGTGAGAAAGCAACCCACCAGATACAGGACTCGAACTCTGGTAGGCCATGTGGGAGTGTCCAGCACCTTAACCACCATGCCACCTGCTGGTCTCCAATGTTTACAGTTCTTACAGTTTGAGTTCTATTAATTTGTAATGTCTCAACATCACAAGTGAAGTCTACATCAAGATATACATGTCTCAAGGATGTCTTCCATGGATTGGGAGTTGGTACATTAACAATTTCAGGAGTCCTCATCTTTGGCTAGGCACTAGACTGCCAGGCCCACCTCCTTGCCCCACCCACCTTGGTGAGTTCCCTCCTTCTCAGGCTGTGACTCTGCCTTATGGGATGTACTGGAAGCCAACAAGGAAAGAAGACTGGTTCTACGAGAAAGGATCTTTTACTCACTGCTGAGCAGGGTTGCAGAGCCAGGGGAAATGGAGCTGACCCTATTGCTGTAAGTTTCTGACAATTTCTCCAGTACTTTTTTCGGACCTGCTTCTAGCAACAGGATTTTTTTGTCCCGAAAGTGAATGTCATATCCTAGAAAAAGACAAAAGCAATATATCATTTTAGAAAAATCAAAAAATTTCGCCTTTCCATTTACAAAGAAACATTGTTTCCTTAGCCATTAGAATGCAGATTTTTTGCAGAACACATAAAGCAACACTGCCTATACAGAGCCCTATAGCAATAACACATACCACCATTTTAGCCCTGGGAACCATCCTACCCATAACTGTAAGTTCACTACATGCCCTGAGCAAAGCAACAAATAATGACAAAACCCAGACTACCAAATAGAATGCCCTGGAAAGAACAAAGTAAAAATAGAAAATCATATGGGTCAGTAGGTGGAGTGGTGGTTAAGGGTGCTGGACTCCCACATGGCCAACCATGGTTGAGTCCCGAACCTGGTGGCTTGCATTTTCACTCCCTTCCCCACTCTGTCCCTCTCTGTGTAAATTAAAATAAATAAAGTTAAATAACTCTTAAAAAAAAAAAAGCTACAGTATTCAGATACCAAGTCTTTTTTTTTTTTCTTTTTGTGAGAGATTTCTGCTGTAGGGTGTCTGTTCACTGGAGAGACAGAAAGTGACAAATCATCCCCCAATTGGGATGGTCACGCTGCAATCCTTTCTTCACTCTCCCCTTGGGATTTTGGACATGCAAACACAGGTGCCAGCATGAGTTTTTTTTTTTTTTTTTAAAGAATTATTTTACTTAATTTTATTCACTGTCATTATTATTTATTTATTTGAAGTTGACCAGAGAGAAACAATGAGCAATGAGAGAGAACGAAAGTCGGAAAGCAAGCTGCCAGGTATGGGACCTAAACAGTAGTCATCCATGTGCGAGTCCAGCCTCCTTTCTTTTTTTAATAGATTTTTTGCTATAGGGCACATGCACTCCCAGGAGAGATACAGAAAGTGAGGAATCATCCTCCAGGTGGGATGGCCTGAATCCCATTTCCTCCATTCTCCTTTCAGGATACTGCGCATACATGCACAGGGGCCCGGCCTGAGTTTTAAGCCCCGGGACTGGAAAGGCAGTCAACTATGTGGGAGTTCAGCCACCTAACGGTCTGCTGGTCCCCGGCCATGAGTTGAGCTGCCAGGTCTGGGACTCCCAACAGCAGTGGACTATATGGGAGTCCAGCAAAGGAACTGCTATGCCATCTGCTGATCCCAGATACTAAGTCTTTCTAATCTTCAGAATATTAAGTCACTAAAAGTTATTCTCATATTCAATAGAAAAGTAGAATACATATGCAATTTCATCGCAGTGTTAAAATTAAACCAAGAATAAACAATGAAGAGTTTATAAAAGAAGGCCAAGAAATGCATCAGTTGTGCCTATAAATCTGACCCCAGAGCACATGGCCACTGCTAAGATGCTGTACTTCATAGGCTGGGACGACATGAAGTCCCGAGTTCGATTCCTTGTTGTCTAGAAGTCAGAAACGGTGGCATGGGTATATTACCCCAACAACTCCTGGAGGCTGAGACAGAGGACTGGAGCATTGTAGGGCGAGACTCAATCTTTAATTTTAAAAAAGTCAGCAGTCTGAGGTAAAAATGAGACTCGGAGACTTCGTTATGACTGTGAGGCACAGATACGGTCCCACCACTCCCTCCGCAGCCTATGTCCGCGCCACTGTCGACCTAGAGACGGGCTTACCCAAGGCACAGGCCATGGCAGCGCCCACCAGGCCTCCGCCTGAGACCACCACATCGTACACGGTGTCCGCCAAGGCGCCAGACCACCTCCGGCAGGAGACGAGCGGGCCTCTGTGCACAGCTGCACACGCAGCCCTACACCGGCTGCCAACCAACCCCGCCACCATGCTGCCGGCCTGCCACTGTAGTACGAGCCGCGCCAGGCCCGCTCGGGTAGTGCTTCCGGAGCAGAGCCCATCAGTCCCGCACCCTGTCCTCGGAACCGGAAACAATATTCGCAAGGAGAAAGGGCCAATCACAAGCGAACGTTGCCTCCTTGGGCGGGCTGGATTTGCTGCCCTAGAAGCCAATCAGAGGCCAGCACTGGAAAGGGGCGGGACCTGAATCCGCGTAGCTGGCGCTGGCGCTGCAGTCACCACCGCTGTCACTGCCGCTCTGCCTCCGCCTGGCCGAGAAGATGACTGTAGGGAGGCCTGAGGGAGCCCCCGGGGGCGCGGAGTGGAGCCGTGAGGTGAGAGAAAGAGAAAGGAGTTCGCGGGACTGCGCCCCGGAAAAGAATCCTTAAGGGAGTAAACGGTTTGACGTTGCCTTGGAGACAGACCGCAGGAGCCTGTCAAAGAGGGGCGTGGTTTTCAAATTAACATTTAGGGAGAGCGAGGCGGACCCTGACTCAGGACTCGAACCACTGAAGTCTTACACCAGGCTTTTCATAGGGTCGCTGCAGTGACAGTCGGCTTCGTCCGTTCAACTACCCTGTGGCTAATAGTATAAACGTCTCCGTTTTGAAGAGAAAACGGAGGCATTAGAGATACTAAGAAATTTGCTGTGATGATTAAGACAGCTGGATCTCCACGGCCGACTTCAAGGTTCAAGTCTTGTACCCTGCAGCTTAAAAACATGGAGGATGCGTGTTGTGCGCCCCAAATCCTGAGAGAATAGGTGAAAAGGGATTGGACATGGCCTTCCCCCCACCCCAGGTGCTTTCTCTTGCCCATAGCAAAGTTTTTAAAAAGTAAAAAAAGGAAATTTGCTCCAAAATTTATAGACAATATAGATTGCTTATGGATGGCTGCTTTGGGTGGGGTAAGGTTTGGGGGAGGGTTATGGAAATGGGGAGTGACAATTAAAGGGTAGGGGTTTTTCTTGTTTTTGTTTTTGTTTTTTGGTGGGAATAGATAAAAAATGTTTTAAAATTGATTGTGATGACAGTGGCATAATGCTCTGAATATACTACAAACCATGTAGTTGTACACTTTAAATGGGAGAATTATGTGGTATGGAAATTACACTCAATAAAGGTGTTGTTCAAAAATTAAGAAATTTACCTACACTCACAGGCTGTTGAACAGCAGAGCCCAGGCTAGAGCACACACACAAACCTTTGAATCAGAATGTTTTTTCCAGTATTACAGCAGGATCTCAGCGAACCCAGTAAAACATCACCAAGTGACACCTGGCCTGGAGGAGTGTAATGGTCTGCCCTTAATTTTCCTTTCTGTAACCACTCATCCTCTATGGTCCTATCCTGGTTCCATGCCTGGGTCTCTTTAGGATATCTTATGGCAGCATCCCACGGCTACAGTGGCTTCCTTTCTACCTCTAAGAAATCTCCAATCTTTTGGGACCAGCAGTTAGCGTGATGGCTATGTCGCTGGACTCCCATGTAGTCAATTGCGGTTCGAGTCCCGGACCCGGTGGCTTAAACTCAACGCCAGGCACATGCACGTGCATGCCCAAGATCCCGAGAGGAGAATGGAGGGGAAGGGATTGCAGTGTGGCCGTCCCCCTTGGGGGGGTGATTTCTCGCTTTCTATCTCTCTGTCTCTGTCTGTCTGGCAAGCGCACGCACCCTATAGCAAAAACCTCTCCAAAAGAAAAAAGAAACCTCCAATCTTTTTTGCTGTCAGGGAATGATTTTATGGAAGACATTTCTCCACAGATGGGGGTGGGGGACATTTCAGGATGATTCAAGCACGTCATTTATCGTGCACTTTATTATTATTACACTGTAATATATAATGACACAATTATTCAACTCACCATAGTGCAGAATCTGTGGGAGCTGGGAACTTATTTTCCTGCAGCTAGACGGTCCCTTCTGGGGGGACTCCTATGAGAATCTAATGCTGCATTGGATTTGACAGGAGGTGGAGCTCAGGCAGTAATGCAAATGATGGGTAACGCTGTAAATACAGATGAAGCTTCACTGACTCACGCGCCACTCACCTCCTGCTGTGCAGCCGAGGTTCCTAACAGGCTACACACATGACCCGGGGCTTGGGGACTCCTGCGCTACAAGATTCAAATTTGTTCTTTCCCAGGACCCTAGTTCAAGGCCTTTATAGCTGCTGATTGTTGAACCAGAACCTTTTTATCCCAGATTTTTTTTGCAAGGCTTGTTCCTTCTCAACAATCAGGGGTCAATTAAAAAATTCCTCCACAGTGAGAAAATAAAAATCAGCCCAGAACCGAGGATATATGTCTCAGACTGTGATAGACACGGATAAGGCCAGCAGGAAGATCAGCGTGAGAAACAATGTTTCTCTCAGGGCCATATCATAACTGCAAAATTATTGGCACCCTTTCTTTGAAATGGTAATGCTTACTAATAAGTTACTTACCCCACCCCGATTTGTTTTTCTCACCTTTTAAAAATGGCTCCATCATTCACTAAACTCCTTATATCATTACAGCATCTGTCCAGTTGATCTCGGCTTCCCCTAACCTCCTCAGACTCAGTCACAACAAACAAATGTGGTTTTCCATGGTATGTGCAGCAAATTGATAAACCTAATTCTGATTATGGGTACATTTCTAGTGACCTTTATCTGATGGGCTTTATCAACAGGGAAGCTTTTTGTAAGTACTTCATCAGTCTATAACTGTGTTTATGGCTTTTCTTTTTTGGAGAGGTTTTTGCTATAGGGCGTATACACTCACCAGAGAGACAGAAAGTGAGAAATCACCCCTGGGGGCATGGCCATGCCGCAATCCCTTCTCCTCCATTCTCCTCTCGGGATCTTGGGCATGCACACACATGCGCCTGGTGTGAGTTTAAGCCACCAGGTCCAGGACTCAAACCGCGATCGACTACATGGGAGTCCAGCAACATAGCCATTACGTCAACTGCTGGTCCTAGTGTTTATGGCTTTTGTTGAATTCATTATCTCTTTTTTTTAATTTGCCAAAAGGTTTGTGTGCTTGCCAGAGAAAGAGAGTGAGAAAGCACCCCAAGTGGGGCATGGTCATGCCATAATCCCTTCTCCTTTATTTCTCCTTCCTTTCAGGATTTTGGGCGTGCATGCACATGTGCCCAGCATGATTTTTAAGTTGCTAGGACCAGGACTTGAACCACACAGTCAGCCATATGGGATCTAACTGCTTTAACCACCAGGCCATGGGCTGGCTCAAATTGATTATTTATATTGTCTGTCTCCTCTCACTAAATGTAAGTTCCATGAGAATAGGGACCTTGTTTTGTCTTGTCCTCAGCCAAATGTACAGTGCACATTAGACACCCAATACATATTTTATGAATGAATGAAGTTTTAAAAGTTTTGAGTGTCCCATTTCCTAGGATGTTGCTCCTTCAGCTAGCCACACTGTCTCTTCTGTTAATTATCCATTCCTAGTGATAGAGTGGAAATTAGCTAGAATATGAGGAAAGCAGAGAGTAGATGGGGGAAGCGGGAAAAGGAAGATGAGTGACAAGTAGGCAAAATCCAAGTAAAGCAGGGTGCAGTGTGGCCAAGTTCATGTGTAGAATTACTGGGGTGCAGGGGGCAGGATATATGGTGCAGATTAGTACTCTAAATGCTCACTGCATGCACTGGGGATCCACCTCTAGCTCTCTGCTTCTCTTTCCAGCCCTTCAACCAAGCATACCCTACATGCCAGGTTGTGAAATTCCTTTGGGGTGAAGGATACACCTTATTTTTCCTTATTCCTCCCTAGTTCCTAATATACAGAAGCTTACTCAAAGTGAAAAAAAAAATATTTAATTGCCAAAGTATGTATGTAGTCACCAGAGAGAGACAGAGAGAAAGCACCCCACACACACACCCTGCCGTGAGGCGTGGTCACACCATAATCCTTTCTCCTCCACTTCTCCATCCTGTCTGGTTTTAGGCACACACATATGTGCTCCAGCATGTTTTTCAAGCCACCAGGGCTGAGACTTGAACCAGGGTCACCCCTACAGGATCCAGCTCCCTTAACCCCTAGATGTAAACTTGATGAGAGCCCATGGGGCCAGCCCTTAAAGTGAAATTAACAGTTATGTTTTGAATACCTTTGCAATTATAGTTTGACCTGCAATCTATTTCTTTTCCTTTCAGATGTTTCCTCCTAAGTCTTCCTCAGACACAGAAGCAGAAGAGGAGCTGACTGGGGATAGGCTGGTTTTACCCAGGGCTGGCAAACTCGACGAGTTTCTCAGTCCAGAGGAGACAGATTCTACTTCTGACTCAACTGAGAGCTTTTATGAGAGCCTACAAATGCTAAAGCAGAAAGGCAGATGGTGCCTGCTGGAGGCTCTCTTTCAGTTGGACTCAGACAGTGATGAGAACCTCTGTGAAGACGATGAGGATCTGGAGAGTTTCTTCCAAGACAAGGGAAGGGGGAAGCCACAGGTCCAATACCCGCAGTCTCTGAGGTAAGCTCTGCTGGTCAGCAGCTTCTCGACTCCATGACAACAGGCAAGTTGGGTCATGTCCCTGGGCCTCACTGTCTTCCTCCATAAAGTAAAGACCAGTGCCAAAAGTTGCCACCAACCCAGGTTCCAGCTAAGAACCAGCTTTTGGGTCCACTCAAGTGTTCCAATTCCTGCAGTCCTACTGTAAGTCACTTTAGAGTTGAGTGATGATGATTGGCATTAATTAAAGAGATACCTTTCCCAGGGCCGGCAGGTGGTGTGGTATTTTAGACGCTTGATTTCCACATGGCCAATCATGGTTTGAGTCCTGGACCTGGAGGCTTACTTTGTCACTTTCTCTCTCCTTCTCTCCCTTTCCCCCTCTCTCCTTCTCTCCCTGTCTCTCTCTGGTAAAATTAAAAATAATAATAATAAATAAAATTTAAATGAAATAATTCTTAAAAAAGAGGTGCCTTTCCCAAGCACACTTCCCCCCAAAAAATGACAGCGGAGTTACATTTACCTTGGCCAAGTCTGTTATATGCATGTGCATTTTATCTCATTTAGTATTTACTTTCTCAACAACACTGTAAGTAGATACTATTTTTATGATTTTACATGTGAGGAAATTGAGGTTCCAAAGGAACCTTATTCAGGGTTTGCAGCAAGATTTAAAACTGGGTCTGGGGGCCAGCAGTTGGTGAAATGGCTATGTCACTGGACTCCCATGTAGTCAACCACAGTTCAAGTCCCGGATCCCGTGGCTTAAACTCTCGCTGGGCCCATGTGCGTGCGTGCCCAAGATCCCGAGAGGAGAAGTGATTGCAGCGTGGCTATCCCCTCTGGGGGGTGATTTCTCTCTTTCTGTCTCTCTGTCTCTCTCTGTCTGTCTGGTGAATGCACGTGCCCTACATCAAAAACATCTCTAAAAAAAAAAAATCCGGGTCTGTTTGACAGTAAAGCCCTGTTCTGCCTTATTGCACCAATCTCTCTTTCATATGAAAATATTAGGGTGCAAAGTGGCAATTCTTGGGTTGATTCTGAGATAAGATTTCCCACAAAGGCTGCTTGGATTGCCTGTGGGAAGGAGGGAGGACTTGCTGGGAAGGTTATGGCCATAGAGGCCTTGGGGCTGGGATGTTAGGCCTAGGAGCCAGCTGTGACCTGTGAGAAGAGTGGGCTGGGGAGGAGAATCAGGGGGAGCTGGATCTCCTGCCTGTCCTCCACACACAGATCTGCTTTCTCTCCCAGGTGTGGCTCCACTAGGCGCTGCAGCTCCCTGACCAGCCTTCCCACGGACATTCCCAACGCTCAGCCGCAGGCACCCGCAGACTCGGGGCCTCCCTCGCAGCAGAGAAGTGTCACCTCCTGGGCATCGTCTATCACTGTCCCTCAGCCATTCCGCATGACGCTGCGTGAGGCCCGGAAGAAGGCTGAGTGGCTGGCCTCACCCGCCTGCTTTGAGCAGGAGAGGCAGCAGGCCCAGAGGCAGGGCCAGGAGGAGGCCGAGTGCCACCGGCAATTCCGGGCACAGCCCGTGCCTGCGCATGTCTACCTGCCCCTCTACCAGGAGATCATGGAGCGCAGTGAGGCTCGAAGGCAGGCCGGGATCCAGAGGAGGAAGGAACTGCTCCTCTCTTCCTTGAAGCCCTTCAGCTTCATCGAGAAAGAGGAGCAGCGAAAGGAGGCTGCTCGACAGAGAGACTTGGCTGCCATAGCTAAGCACAAGGTCCCCAAACCGAAGGCCACAAAGAGAATCCCCAAGTCCATACTGGAACCAGCCCTTGGGGACAAACTCCAGGGTAAAGACATCCTTGCTACCTTGAGCCTCCTGCCTAGGATTACCAAGAGGCACTGTGGGGATTTAGTAAGGGCTCAGAGGTCAGCCTGGTCTGGAGATGAGCTGCTCAGGTGGGCTCAGTCAGGGCCACACACTCAGTGGTGGCTGTAGGGGAGGGCAGGAGGGTAGGCCTTTCTACACAGTGGGGTAGGGTGTGGGAAGCCTGTAAGGAGTGAAGAGTGAGAAGTCTTAGAGTATCCCGAGGCTCATCCTTTGACTTCAGCTAAGGCCCCTGCACCAGCACAGGTGATGGAACACAGAACCAGAAATTCCCTAGGACCAGTTCCAGCCACACTACTACAGCTGCCACAAAGAAAAGCTCCTGGGCCCTCCTTTATCCTGGCGAAGGATCATGACTCACTGGAACTACTCGGGGGATGAGTTCTTAACACATCTTACACAGTATCACTCTAAATGAGGGACTCAGGTTTCATTCACTCTTCAGCAGCATGTGCCAGGCACCAGGCAGTGCTCTGTGGTGAAGGAACAGACATGGAGGCTAAGAGGAAAGGAGAAAGACAGATAACAGATAAATTAAGCTACATGTTGAGTCCTTTACAGTGATTAAAGGGGGAACATGGGAGTTCAAGCAAGTATCTAACAGAGGGACCTAACTCAGGCTGGAGGTCCTCCCCCCACAAAGAAAGTACCCTGGGGCTGACATGGAGGATGAGCTGTGATTGGTTGATTCAGTGAGGAGAGAGGAAGAGTGGCCCAAATACAGATGTAGCATGGAGGTAAGAGTAAGCTGAGGACATTCAAAGCGTGGGAGAAGAGGGAAGGGAGCAGCCGGCTTGGGCCAGACCTGAGGGGCCTTGCAGGCTAGATTAGGGAGTTCAAATTCCCAACACTCCAAGGGCACTGGGGACTCCTGATCAGATGTGCAGTTCAGAAAGAGCACTCTAATTGCTAAGTAGATACTTAAAGGGGGTAGCAGGAGTAGAGGGATATTGATCAATAGGTTATTTCAGTTTACCTGAGATGAAGAAAGTAGCAAGGACTATGAAAAGAGGATGGACCAGAGAGGTTAAAGAGGAGGCATAGAGCTTGTGACTGATGGCTGGCTGATGACTCGCCCTTGTGATGAGAATGATTCAGGCCAAGGTCATGGGCAGTTGGGTGGACAGCAGAGCTTTCCTCCAAGATGGAGAACCTGCAAGAGCTGCATCTGGAAGTGTAAGTACAAATGTAGCTGCAGCTGCAACCTCACTGGCACAGGCAATAGTGTCCTGGCCAGTGTTCATTAGTGAGCTCTCCAGAGGGAAGAAAGAGGCTGGTTTGTAGTAGTGTTTGTCATTTTGTGTGGTTTAAGTACTCCTATCATGGTCAATTTCAGGCTTCCTGTATAATGTCAGTGGGCTCATGCGTTGCTGGAAAGTCAACAACTGGCTCTAATTCCTACTGCTAGTGCTTAAAAGAGGGAGTTCTCTGAAACTGAGTATGAAGCTTGGTCCCTTCTCACCTATAACCACCTGCCTTTTTCTCCTCAGAAGCTGAGCTCTTCAGGAAACTTCGCATCCAAATGAGGGCTCTGGACACACTGCAGGTGGCCTCTTCCCCAATTGACTCTTCTAGGACTAGCAGGAACCACTCACAGCCCCGCACAGCCACCCGGACCCAGGAAGAAAAGCTTGCGTTCCTGCAGCCTGAGTTTGGATTCCAGCCTCGGGTGAATCCGGTCGTCCCTGACTATGAGAGTCTTTATAGGGCCTTCCAGAGGAGAGCTGCCAAAAGAAGGGAGACTCGAGAGGCAACTCGCAACAAGCCCTTCTTGCTGAGGACTGCCAACCTGCGTCATGCTCAGCGGCCCTGTGATGCTGCTGCTCCCAGAGGGAGGAGGGTGAGAGCCCAGGCAACTGTGGGGAAGGCCCAAGGCCTGAGGTCTGAAATTCAGACAGGGCCCAGGTCCCATGGAAAGGACTTCTATTACATTTTTCTATCTGATTTTTTTTTTTTTCCTGATATGAAAGAGAACAAGTGAGTACGTGGCAGGGGAGAGAGGTTTTTCAGACGGTCTTACCATGTCACAATCCTCCAATCTCAGCCTTCCAGTTAGCTAGGATCACAGGTGCTCACCACTGTACCCAGCCTGTTTAGGTTGTCCTAAACAGTTCTACCTGCTGGGAACTGACTGGAGCCTCCCGTGTGGCACCAGCCATCATGCAGCAATGTCTCCCACTTGTGCCACACAGCTGGGTCCTATCTTAATTGTTTTGAACACTAGCTCAGTTGTAAGAGAACCAACATTCCGGTAAACTTAGGACCATAGGAACACTTCCTCTCCTTCCCTTCTGTAGCAGAATGCTGCAGGAGTCAGTCCAAGCAGATCTAGAAGGAAAGGAATTGGGATCAATTGCTTGTGGCCTACACCCATTCCAAGGAATTCTTCTCATTTGAGTAGACTTTTGGATTGATACCCAAGTCTTGTCCTGGTTATTAAACTTGATATCTCATTATTCTTTTGCCTTATTATCAGAAAAACAAATGGAGATTCTTATTTTTCAGTCCTTTACTGGAATTGAATCTGAAGATAAAAATTATGGGCCATCCAATAGCCTGGTGGATCCCACATGATTGACCACATGATTTCAGTTCTGAACATGGTGGCTTGAAAAACATGCCAGGCGCCATATTATGTAAATGTCCAAAATCCCAGAGAAGGGAGAAGGGGAGGAGAAAACTGTAACATGATCATGCTCCCTGGGAAGTGCTTTCTAGCTTCCCCTTCCCTGTTTTTCTCTCCCAAGTGAGTATATGTGCCTTCTGGCAAAAATTTAAAAAAAGATAAAAACTAATCACACGCACCGTCTTACCAAGACCAGCCTTCATTTCTTCTAGGATTCCCCACAGCCACCAACCACACCACTGCCAAGGAGTCGCTCTCTGAGTGGTCTTGCTTCCCTTTCTCTCAACACTCTCCCTGTGCACATCACGGATGCCACCAGGAAGAGGGAATCTGCAGTCAGGTGAGTGGTCAGGTGCACAAGAATCACAAAGCTCTGATCTTGGCCCAGATGCTGGGAACCAGCCCTGCTGCTGAGCCTCCTTTCTTGTTATCAAGGAGTTGGAGAAAATTCCCTGATTCAGACAGTGAGACATGTGGCTCTCCACCCTGGTGCTGGAGGACACCTAACCATTATTCAGCAAATATTCTTGGGGGGACTTACTCTGTGCTTGGCACAGAGTTAAGGTTGGAGATACCATAGGGAACCTACAGTTTAATATCCAGTCTGAAATTCAGAGATGCAAAGAAGCAACTGCCATATATTTTGTTAGTGCAGTGGGGGAGTACAGGGGACTAAGGGCCCTGGGAAGCCTGGGGCAGGGGTCTTTCATCTCTTTAAATAGACATAAGATGAAACCTGAAGAATAAGGAGGAATTAGCCTCTCTGTGGGCTGGAGAGGAGGGGGATTCCAGATAGAACAACATGTATGAAAGGCTACACGTGAAATAAGGTAGCCCTGACGAACAAGAAATCAGAAATATGGGAGGAGGTAGCTGAGCTTGCCACAAGGAAGACGAGACATCCCTTGCATGCATTAGAGGTCTTCCAAGATCACTTTGGGGATTGGGAAGCAAGAACCTGATAATTTATTATTATATATGTTTGTGTATGTATGTTTATATATATATGTGTGTGTGTGTGTATATATTTTTTTCTCTTCAGATTTTTGTCATAAGGCATGTGCACTTGCCAGGGAGAGAGAGAGAAGGAAAATGAGAAATTCCCTGGGGGAATGAGCATATCACAGTCCCTTCTCCAGTCTCCTCTTGGAATTCTGGGCATGCATGCATACATGCCTGGTGTTATTTTCAAGCTTCTGGGTCTGGGACGGAAACAGCAGAGTCAGCCCTATGGGATCCAGCACCTTAACCACCATGCCATCTGCTGGCATGGAACTTGCTTATTTTTAAAACGTCAACTGACCTGCCTCTCACACTATTGTTCTTGGTGAGCCAGCACCTAGTGAGAATGCCTTCGCTAGGCTTCTGAACTAAAGTCTGCAGGAGAGGCCATAGTATAAGGAGGAGCTTAGCCCTGGGAGAGGATGAAGGTTATCAGTGCCTTCCCAAGAGGCTCGTAGGGGAGTGCCAGGAGCCCACCTGACTCTGTAAAACCCACAACATGGACTCTAGAATGTCCTTAGGATCTAGGGACCAGCAGTTGGCGTATGTCGCTGAACTCCCATGTAGTTGAGGTTAGAGTCCTGGACCTGGTGGCTTAAACTCACGCTAGGCGTATGTGTGTGCATGCCCAAGATCCTGAGAGGAGAATGGAGAAGGGATTGCGGCATGGCCATCCCCCCTGGGGGTGATTTCTCGCTTTCTGTCTCTCTGTCTCTATCTTTCTGGCGAGTGCACATGCCCAATAACAAAAACTTCTGAAAAAAAAAAAAAAAAACAAACAAACCAGGGGCTGGCAAGTGGCGTGGTGGTTAAGTGCACTGGACTCCCACATGGCCAACTGCAGTTTGAATCCTGGACCTGGTGGCTTGCTTTCTCACTTGCCCTCTCTCTCTCTCTCTTTCTCTCTTTTCTTTCTCTCACTTTCTCACTCTGGTCAAATTAAAATAAATAAATAAAGTTAAATTTAAAAAAAAAAAGAAAGAAATGTCCTTAGAATCTAAGAGGTATTTCCTTTTTTCTTAAATTTTGTAATAAGAGCTACTAAATTAGGGCTAAAAGCATCAGTTTCCTGTGTACCCAGTAAGACAAGCATCATGATCAAGAACCTGGCCTACCTACACAGGATGTCCACATTTGCCTTGCAGCAGTAGGACTGTGAAAGATTGGCAGATTAAACTTTCATGCGCTTCTTACTAGTCTGTCCATCTGAATGTAAACATCCAAATGCAAGAGTCTCCTTTTTCCTTTCACAGAACTCTCCATACTACCTTATAAAATGACAATTACACAGGACCAGCAGATGGCGTAGCAGGTACATTGCTGGGCTCCTAGGTGGCCAACCATGGTTCAAGTCCCAGACCCAGTGGCTTGAGACTCATGCCAGGCACGTGTGCATGCGTGCCCAAGATCCTGGGAGAATGAAGGAAAAGCAACTGCAGCCTGCCCATCCCCCTGGGGGATGATTTCTCACTTTCTCTGTCTCTATCTCTCTCTGTTTCTCTGGTTAATGCATGTGCCCTCTAGCAAATATCTCTCTCAAAAAGAAAAATTGACAATTACACAAAAGTGCTGCAAGTTGAACCTAAACTGTCCACATTGAAGGACGCCCATTTTCAGTTCTCTTTGGAAATGCAGATTTGTAGTCCTAAAGGACCATGAACTTGGCCCGCCATTAAAGCACAGTGATTAAGGACAGAAGTCAGAAATTCTTGTTCTAATCCTAACTTTTCCATTGGCATGCTGGGTAGCTTTGAGCAAGTGGTTTACCCTCTCTGAACTTCAGTCTCCTTCCCTTTAAAGAGATTTACAGCTTTACTCATAAGACATTTATGAGAATAACAAGATATATAGTAGTATTCGGTTCATGGTAGGCGGAGCAGCAAATGGTAGCTATTCCTATTATCTTGTTTCCAGACAGGGAAGAAGCCTAGCAAAGTCCTAGTGAACGGGTATTTAACTAAGGCTATTTTAACTCATATGTTCTCCAATTAAATGAATAAATGTCTCCTGAGGTACGAAATCACTGTGTCCCTTGTGTTAGAATAGCTTAATCTACTGGTCCATTTAATCCCACAGTCTCAGTCTGAAAGGGCCAGGTATGGTAAATTACCCCCACTGTTCATAGAAAACACCAACTTATTTTCCAGAGAGGATTCTAGAATTGCCTTTAAATATACCCAAGTTGGTCATCTACACTTTTTTTTTTTTTTTTTTTGGACTCCTGCCTTTAGAAGTTCACTTGAAAAAAAGGACAAAGCAGATGAAAGTGTTCAGTGGTTGGAGATGCACAAAAAGAAGTGTCAAGCAATGTCTAAATCCGTAAGCTTACGTGCAAAAGCCATGGACCCCCATAAAAGTCTAGAAGAGGTATTCAAAGCAAAGCTAAAAGAGAACAGGTCAGTATCTGCCATGTGTCAAAGGGGTGTCTGTCTTGGGATCCCACAGATCCTGCCTTAAAAAGGGCAAAACAGGGAACCAGCAGTTAGCGTAATGGCTATGTCGCTGAACTCCCACGTAGTCAACCACAGTTCACGTCCCGGAGGCTTAAAACTCACACGGGGCGCGTGTGCATGCGTGCCCAAGATCCCAAGAGGAGAATGGAGGAGAAGGGATTGCGGCATGACCATCCCCCCTGGGGGGTGACTTCTTGCTTTCTATCTCTATGTCTCTCTCTGTCTGGCGAGCACATGTGCCCTATAGCAAAAACCTTTCCAAAAAAAAAAGTAAAAATAATAATAACAATAATAATAAAAAAAGGGCAAAACATGGAATTATTGGAGTAGGCTCCTATAATTGCAGGAAGTTAAGAATTTCACCAGAGAAATTACAGTGTACATGAGAATCACTCTACTTAACTGGAATGAAGGGTATTCTGGATTAGAAAAGACAGAATTCTTTCTAGAAATTTTGTTAATTCTAGGAACAATGATCGTAAAAGAGCAAAAGAATATAAGAAAGAACTGGAAGAAATGAAGAAAAGAATACAAACAAGGCCCTATCTCTTCGAGCAAGTTACCAAGGTAAAACTAAACATATCATTGTCTTTCTGCCAGGGACAAAAGGCCTCTTAGAAATTTTGAAGCAATTTTAACATGTGGGTATTAAACATTTCCTTGAAGTTCAGAAATGCTAAATTAGGTACCTTTTATTATCATGATCTTTCTAAAATAAGTAGCTGCTTAGGCTGATTTCATCTAAGACTGCACTTGAAAGTTATCCATAAAGGGTTATTTCACTTCTGTTTTCATCACTGTCTAGCTTTCAAATTGCATCAGTGCGGGGTTAGATCTGGGACACATGATCCCTTGGCTGTTGTGGCTGCCTGGAGCCTCTGTTCACAATGCTGGGAAGTGTGCATGCCCAGCCACTGAGCTGTGGCCCACTCACAGATCTCCAAGGCTTAGGATGCTCAGAAGTACCTAACACGGTTCTTCCCAGGTTAAATGGCTTTCATGCTAGAAGAATCATTTTAGGTTATTCTCTAGATTTTAGAGGAATCATATTTAGTTGAGATCTCCCGAAGGAATCTCTGCAACTATTTCAACAGCTCAGAAAGGCCACCAGCCCAGGCAGTTTTGGACTGTATCTGGCTCTGCTGGATCCCTTTCCTCTTCAGTGCTTCAAACACTACAGTTTCCTAGTGACCTAGTTGCTGTAGCTGGGCATTAGCTCCATTTCACAGCTAGTGTGTTACCTAGGCATTTGCAGGGTCCACTCCTCCCCACGCTTGTTCCCCCACCCCAGCCGCCACATACACCAAAGCATATATACTGGTCTATCTTGGATTTCCTTAGCAACTGGCATTGTTCAAGATCTCTTGCTGACCTTTTCTCTTTATATTACTCGTCTCAAGTAAGCTTACTCTTCAGATTTTTAAAAAAAGATTATTTAATTCCTCTTGTTATTTTTATTTGACCGGGGAGGGAGGGGGAAGAGAAAGAAAGCATGCTGCTGGATCCAGGACTCAAACTGCAGTCAGCCTATGGGAATCCAGTGCCTTTAACCACCACGCCACCTCCTGGCCCCATACTCTTCAGGTCTTAACAGGTCTTTCACCACTCTAGAAAACATACAAAGTAGTCTATGATTTTGCTCTTGAATACTTAAAATAAAAACCTTTTTAGCACTCAGGCCAGTTATCTTTTTAGTCTAGCTTATTTTGTTGTAATTGGTCATTTGTGTGCTGGAGGTCAGCAGGTGGTGTGGTGGTTAAGGACTCGACCACAGTTCGAGTCCTAGACCTGGCAGCTTATAAATCACACTGGACACGCGTGTACGTATGCCCAAAGTCCCAGAGGAGAATGGAGGAGAAGATTATGGCATGGCAATCCTCCCAAGAGAGATTTCTCGCTTTCCTTCTCACCGTCTCTCTCTGTCTTTCTCCTCTCCAGCAAGTGCATGGAGCCTATGGCAAAAATCTTCAGGGAAAAAAAAAAAGTGACTCAGGTGTACATTAACGCTTAGAAAAAAGCTCTATTTTCCTATAAATCTTTCCCCTACGGTATGTGGTGGTGGTGGTGGTGAAGGCAATATAGAAAAGAAATGACTAAGCCAGTAATTTAGAATTATCTGGTAATTCACAAATCATCTACAGATCACTCCCATCCTACAGGACCTTGCCAGAAAAGAAGCAGAACAACGGTATCGAGACACCCTGAAGCAGGCTGGGCTGGAGGAAGACTTTGTGAGGAACAAGAGTCAAGACACCAGTGTGGTAGAGTGGAAAGAGGGGCCCAAAGCAGAGGATTCTCTCAGGTAATCCGAGCTCTGCTACCATCCTACCGCTCTCTAAATTGCCTTCTCAGTAACACCACCTGGAGGACCCTTTGAGCAGCCACTCAGATTTTGAGATCCAACCTTATAACTAATCCAGAGATAGATAAATAACACATCTGAATTTATAAATTAGAGCAGTTCAGAATAAAATGTAACCATTGTAGGGCCAGCCCCATAACACAGTGGTTATAGAAACTGGATCCCACGCGATCAACCACAGTTTGAATCCCCGCCCTCGCCGAGTGTATGTGTGTGCCTCAAATCCTGAGGATAGTGAAGTGGAGGAGGTGCTTTCTCTCTCTGAAAAGCACCCATGTCCTCTGGAAACTTTAAAAAAAGAAAGAAAAGAAAAGAAATGAAAAGAAAAGAAAAGAGGGGCTGGCAGGTGGCACAGTAAAGGGCGTTGAACTCCCACATGGCTAATTGTAGTTCAACTCCCGGACCTGGCAGCTTACTTTCTCAGTCTCTCTCTCTCACACACACACACATACCACACACTTTGTCCCTCTCTGGTCAAATTAAAATAAATAAGTAGTTGGATAAATAAAGTTAAATAATTTTTTTAAAAAAATTAAAAAAAGGAAAAATCTAACCGTTTTATATTAGGTTTAGAGTCTTTCAATTTTCCAATTCCAATGCCATGACTCAAAAGTTTTTCTGCTTCTGAAGAAAAATTACATTTGACTTCCTTTTTTAAAAAAGAAGAATTATGTTTATTATTCTTTTTAAAAAATAATTATTTTAACTTTATTTATTTCATTTTATTTTAATTTGACCAGAGAGGGACAGAGAGAGAAAGTGAGAAAGCGAGCCACCAGGATTCAAACCATGGCTGGCCACGTGGGAGTCCAGTGCCCTTAACCACCACACCACCTGCCAGCCCCTGTTTATTATTTTTCAGTTTGACTAGAGAGAGACAGAGAGAGGATCCTTTTGGCCAGAACTGCCATCTTCCAGTAATTAACCAAAATGAGAGACGGAGAGTGAGAAAGTAAGCTGCAAGGTCTGGGACTTGAACCATGATCAGCCATGTGGGCATCTAGAGCCTCAGCCACCATGCCACCCGCTGGCCCATACTTTGACTTCTTATAACATGATGAAGCTTTTTCTAGCACTCCTTAAAGGTAACTCATTTGCATCACTTCCTCCATGACCCATTCTGGTATCATATTAGTCAAAGAGAAAAAAGCATATCTCCATTATTCCCTATTTTCATATTGTTTCTTAGTCCCAGTAGCCTCTCCCCTAAGTTCTGTCAGTTTTCTCTGCAGAAATTTCCTTTTATACCCCACTAAAATGGATATGTTGAGAACATTCTTAAACCATACAAAATGCTTTCTTTAAAATTTCCTATTTCGTTTCAATTCATTTTGCAGCATTGATAGAACTACAAAATGTGGCATCAGGGATCCACAGCAGGACTTGGAAGAATCTCTGGAAGAGCCCATAAGCCTTGAGAGAGAGCTGGAGTTGTCGTCTCGTGAAACACTCGGCAATCTCAAATCAGTGGCTTAACTAGTACACTTAAAATGACGGCCTTTCAACAATAGTAAGCAGCTACCTTGAGGCTTAGTTAGGGCAGGCAATACACAGATGTTGAGTCCTGACTACTGTTACAGGATGAGGAAATGGAGAGGAAGAGTAAATGGCTGGAGGAATTCAAAGTGGAGAAGCTCAGAGTAGAGGGATGACAGTCTAGAGTTAAAGAGTTCTTGCTTTGTGCTTCACACTTAAGAGTACAGGTACAGGGGACCAGCAGTTGGCATAATGGCTGTCACTGGATTCCCATGTAGTCAACTGTGGTTCGAGTCCCGGACCTGGCAGCTTAAACTCATGCTGGGCACATGTGTCTGCAAGCCTAAGATCCCGAGAGGAGAATGGAGAAGGGATTGCGGCATGGCCATCCCCCCTGGGGGGTGATTTCTCGCGTTCTGTCTCTGTCTTTCTAGCGAGCACACACGCCCTATAGCAAAAACCTCTCCAAAAAAAAAAAAAGAGTACAGTTACAGCAAAAGGGCCGCAAGCCCAATGCTCATGGGGGCTAGTCGGGAAACACAAATGAGTCACATGGGGTATGTGTAAGAGTAGAAGAGTAGGAGATAGTAGAGACTGGAACATATAAACCCTGTGGAATAGAGGCCCAGAATCGCCGAATACTCAGAAGCCAGAAATAGGCATGTTGGCAACTACTTTAAAAATTATTTAAATAAGGTGTGAGTGAAATAAACTACATCTGTATATCAGATTTAGCTCATGAGGGATAACACATTTGCAACTTCTTATGCAGAGTTTCTTACCCTCAGCACTATTAATATTTTGGGCTGGATCATTCTTGGGAGTAGGGGAGAGAGCTTCCCTGTACACTGTAGGATGTTTGGCAGCATCCCTGGCTTTTACTGGTAAGAGAGGTGCCACCTGAAGCCAGTCGCTCTCCCTCATTACTGCCAAATGTCCACTGGGGGCAAAAAAGTCCCCGGTTGAGAATCACTAGTATAGGTTAAAAGTAAGGCTGCAGGAAGCAAAACCCAGCATCTTAGAATGTAATTGCCATGACCTCAATTTATATAGTACAAGATGACTGTGCATGTCATTAATGAATTAAGAAATTATATTTATTTAAAATAGCAGTTAATTCTTTCCTGTTATGTGTTTAGTGTTTAGAATGTGCCATTGTGGGCATGTGTATCAGCATAAGGTTAATGTTAAATAAATTTAAAACTTCTCTGATAGTCATGATTTTTTACTGGGAGGTGATTTTCTTTCTTTTTTTAATTGCCAAGGGTACATACATTCATCAGTGAGAGAGAGAAAAAGCATCCCCCAGAGGATGTGGTCACGCCATAATTCCTTCTTTATATGGGATGCAGCTCATCTAACCACTAGGATACAGGGCCGTCTCAACTAGTAGGTGATCTTTAGAGTACTTTTCTTCTCACCGGTAATTACTGGGTATGTAGTAGCCACAGAGACAGGATGATACCCAGAGTGCTTGCTCTCACAGAGTACAAAAACCTATCCTTCTTGAAAAATTCAAAGTATCTGTTATTATTGCCATTTTTCCACACTCAGACACGGTCTTTTATGGTGGTGACAGAGTCATACTCTGGTAATTACCATCCAAGTTTGCTAGCTACAAACACCACTCATGTCGTATTTCCTAAGACTCCTCAGTTCAGTTTTACCTGCATGGAATCTGAAGTGCCCCCCCCTTTAAATTTCCTAGACGTCACACATACTTGCCAGAGAGAGAAAAAAAACATAAGAGAGCACCCCTCAGAGGCATGCCACAATCCCTTCTCCTCTCTCCCTCCTTCCCTCCCTCCAGGATCTTGGGTACGTGTGCACACGCACCATTTTTCCACGCCCCTGGGTCTGTTACCAAACAGAGTAGCAACTCATGTGGACCCAGGCTCCTCAACCACCTGGCCATGTGCTGGCCCCATTGCCCTATCTTAAAGGGATTGAATTCTTTTCTTAAGCTTCTCTTCAGTAAAACAAATACTGTCCAAAATAAGAGGCAAAGAAATAACTGGGCTGTTTTGTTTATTTAAAGGGGTAACTGAAGCTCTGAATCATGTGATTTTTAACTTTAAAAACCAAAACAAACAAAAAAACCCTCAACATGCTACTGTATGTTCCATAAATGAAGAAGCAAAGTGACCAAGTAGAAGTGTACAGGGCACGAAGCACCTCAGCCTGCGCCAAGGGGAGATTCAAGTAATTTACTTTCTGCAGCCCAGTGGCGGAGAGTCTCTTACTCAGGTTGCTAAAGGGAGAATGTCCTGACGGAACTGGCATCACTCCCTTCTTCAAAGCAACAAGGCATCTTGAAAATTCAATTTCCTGGTGAAATTCTGTTGGTGGTGGCAGCACTTAGTTCATCCACATGAGATAGCTGAGTCTAGGATGAAAACTCTTCAAAGGAAAACCTCTCAACAGTCATAATGAGAAACTTCAACCAATACACAATCAATTTGCTTTTGTGAGAAATCCAGCTCAAAATTTTGCAGTGGGAAGAAAGAGGGGTACAGTTACCCAGCCCACCGTCACTGCTTTGTTCCTTGGTTCATTGTCTGGATTAGTTAGTAATTTGAAGAAGAGGAGCTCTCCTACATCCATCTTCGATGCCAGGGAAGACAACAGACAAAAGCAAGGTCCTGTCCTTCACAGATTCATTTTGGTTCCAGCAGATCATGAGCTGCAGCATCCTGTTCCCACTCTCTGAACTCTGGGGTCAGACAGAGCTGTTCTTCCAGAAGTCAGCAATCACACTCATGTCCGTCTTTCAGTTAAATCTCCTTGGTTTAGCAACTGTAAAACATTGAGGGCAAATCTAGAATATGTTACAGTTTAATTATAGGAAAAGAATGAACTGTAGGGATGAATCAAAATAGCCAGTTCCAAAGTAAAAGACATGCACAAACTTACAGATCTCACTCATATGCCTTAGGACACCACTCTGACCACTTCTTTTTTTTAAAAGAATTATTTTATCTAACTTTATTTATTTTAATTTGACCAGACAGGGACAGAGTATGAAAGAGAGAGAGAGACAGAGAGCGAGCAAGCAAGCTGCCAGGTCTGGGACTCAAACTGCGGTCGACCATGTGGGAGTCCAGCACCCTTAACCATCATGCCACATGCCAACCCCCTGACCACTTCTTAATGCTGACACTTTAACAATGGCAACAGGGAGCCAGCAGTTAGTGTAATGGCTATGTCGCTGGACTCCCACATAGTCGACCACGGTTCGTGTCCCAGACCCGGTGGCTTAAAACTCACACCGGGCGCGTGTGCGTGCGTGCCCAAGATCCCGAGAGGAGAATGGAGGAGAAGGGATTGCGGCGTGACCATCCCCCCTAGGGGGTGATTTCTCGCTTTCTGTCTCTATGTCTCTCTCTGTCTGTCTGGCGAGCGCACGCGCCCTACAGTGAAAATCTCTCTCAAAAAAAAACAAACAAACAAACAAAAAAAAACAAAAAAAAACAAAAAAAAACCAAAAACAAAAACAATGGCAACAAAATATCATAAGTCTATAAACTGAATTACTGTTTGTACAGTCAGTGATGGAGGGAACTGTGACAGGGAAATAAATGGTGGAAGCAGAAATCCTTAAAGTATGCCTTGAAGCATAGGATGAAGGTTCAAGTAGGCAAAAAGAACAGGAAAGGGAGCTCTTCCCTTTATCAGTTCTCTATAACTGCTGGAACCCATTCAAAATCTGAGATCTAGGGGTTCCTTGGGCTTAAAGAATACAGCTCATGTGACAAAGGGAAATAAGCCTGAGGGACTGCAGTCCTGAGGGACTCCTGCAGGGTGGGGGCTATCACTGACATCCTCTTCCTATGCTCAATGCTTCTGTTCAAACATTTGAACACAATAATCGAGAAAACTAGTCCCCATTTTATAAATGAGTTGGCTCAGTAGCAAAATTCAGAAAAATTGGGCTCATTTAAAAATCTAATCAGAGAGGGGGGCCAGCAGGTGGTGGTTAAGGGACCTGGACTCCCACATGGTTTGAATCCCAGACCTGGCAATTTGCTTTCTCACCTTCTCTCTCTCTCTAGCTCTGTCCCTCTCTGGTCAAATAAATACACACGTGTGTGTGTATAAAAATAAAGTGACATCTTTAAAATATAATCTGAGGAAGCAGCAGATGGCATAATGGTTATGTCACTGGACTTCCTCGTAGTCAACCATGGTTCTTAAAACTCACACCAGTCCCATGTACATGCATGCCCAAGATCCCGAGAGGAGAATGGAGGAGAAGGTACTGCAGCAGCATGGCCATCTCTCTCGGTCTCTCTGGCAGATGCATGCACCCTAGAGCAAAAATCTCTCTCTAAACAAAAAAATATATAATCAGAGAGCCAGCTGGTGGCATGGTGGTTAAGGCAGGTGGATCATGCGGCCAAATACGCGGTTTGAATTCCGGGCCTGATAGCTTGAAAAACACACCAGGGCAAGGGGGAGAGGGGTGGTGGCTCTATAGCCTAGTGGTTAAAGAGAGCTGGATCCTATATGGCTGACTAAGCGGTTTGAATCCCAGTCCGGTGACTTGAAAAATACACTGGGCATGTGTGTGCATTCCAAATCCTGAAAGGACAGAAATAATGAAGGGATTGCAGTGTGACCACATCCTATGGTGGGGGTGGCTTTTTCCCTCCCCCTCTCTCCCTGGTGAGAGCATACACCCTCTTTTAAAAAAAAATAATAGGAGGGGCCAACAGGTGGCATGGTTGTCAAGGGCACTGGACTCTCAGATGACTGATCACAGTTGGAGTCTCGGACCTGGCAGCTTGTTTTCTCACTTTCCCCCTCTCTTTGTCCCTCTAAGTCTCATTAAAAAATAAATTAATTAAATTAAATTAAAAAAAGGGGGGGGCAGCAGGTGATGTAGTAGTTTGAGTCCTGGACCCAGTGGCTTGAAAATCATGCCAGGCATGTATACATGCACGCCGAAAATCCCAGAGGAAAATGGAGAAGAGATTGCAGCGTGGCCACCCCTCCAATGGATGATTTATATATATATATACATAATCATAATAAGGGGTCAGCAGATGGTATAGTGGTTAAGGTATTGGACTCCCACATGGTTGCCTGGGTTTGAGTCCCAGACATGGTGGCTTGAAACTCAAGCTGAGTGCATGTGTGCCCCAAATCCTGAAAGGATAATGGAGAAGGGGCTGTGGCATGGCTATCTGCCCTAGGGGGGTGGTTTTTTTGCTTTCTGTCTGTGTCTCTCTGGTGAATGCACACTCCCTATAGCAAAAATCTCTCAAATAAATAAATAAATAAATAAATAAAAAAAATAGGGGCCGGCAGGTGGTGCAGT